ATTTATTTTACCTTTCCATAAGTACCGTTAGTTCTGGGTCGCGAAATATTCGTTTATTGTTGAAAATGCAAAACTGCTTCTGGCGACTCAACTTGGCCTACGGGTTTTCGTGGGCCTATTAGCCTTTGAAACGGCCATTTGGATTCTCGTTGGCCTATAGAACGGAAAGAAAGGGGAATTGGGAATTTGCGTGCGTTTATACACTTCAAGTGCGCCTTTTGTTTTCGAGATCTTATTTTGCGTTCTTCAACACTTCGTCTTGCAGTTATTGAATAGAAGCATCGTACCAAACGTTTGGTTGACACCTTCACGCCGAAATCATAGATATATTTGATGTTTTGTGCTCGATAGGCCGGGAATGAGCGATTAGGCCGTAGTAGATTTTTCCTCTATTTATTTATCTTGAAGATAAATTGTCCAGCTCAAACCGTTGTATGGGTAAAAGGTGGAAACATCATCATCTTCAGTAGTAAAATAATGTCGTTTCAACATACTAGTGCTTATTTTTTATGTTTTAAGGCCTGAACAAACAAATTTCTGAGGGATTATTGTCAGCGCTTGATTTTTTTTTTTTTTCTTTGGTTTGTTTTCCGTCGATCTTGTTTTCCGTGCTGAGCACCAATGCTACCGACGCCAGGAAGGCAGCTCCCACACCTGGACCCTACCTATCGACCCATCAACTCATGAACCGGGGACCAACGGCTTTACTTCCCTTCCGAAGGAAGACGTGATCAGAGATGTTATGCCTCAGAACATCCCGGCGGCGCCGACTGGGATTGAACCCAGGCCTGCTGGGGTGAGAGGTAATCACGCTTACCACTACACCACCGGCACCGCTGTCAGCGCTTGATGATTTCTAGAAATTTAAGGCTCGCCCACGCAAACCAACATCCTCATCGGGTTGGGAAAGACTTCCCCTATTCGATGGTTAGGTTGGTCTGCGTGGACGTGTCTTGAATTCCTAGAAATCTACGATAGAAGTCATTGTTTACAAAAGCTGTTACGCCCTAATTCCTGCTCTATCTAGAAATGCACAATAAAAGAAACCAGCCCTAATACACAGTATCGAAACATCTATAAAAGTGCTGTAGACTTACATTTTGATGTGTGATCTGTGATCTATAATAAGTGATAGCTTTTTTAGCCTAAAATTGATAACAACCTAATGAACCCTGAATTAGGACATGTACCCTATTTAACGCAAAAGTGTTGACCGCCGTGTGAAGCAATTAGTTCAACAGCGGCCGATAACACAAAATTCTATTTCGAAAAACCGATCTCAATTGTTCTATTCTTTCTCTCACTGAAATCATGGTCAAGTTCATGTGTCGGTTGGTGATTGGTTAACGCTCAGTCTTGCAAAAAGCTAACGTTGATGATATATAAAGACTGTCCGTTCTATTGTTCTTTCTTTCATTCGTGCCACGTTTTAGTGTAACCGGTCGATCGACACGCGCGAGTATTTTTATCGAAGCATAACATTTTACAATAATTTAAAGTGATCTAGTTTAGTTGTGATCGTTTGTTTGTAAAAATGGTGAGATCCGTGTGCAGCGAAGTCCCTGACGTAAGCAGCCTATCCAATAAAATTAATATGGAGGAATTAGCCCCAGTTTTAAAGAGCATTATCGTAACACGTACCAAGGAAGGGGCCACTATTGAAGAAATCATCGGTAATGTACTAACTTTGTAATGTTTGCACATTTTCCTTACATAATTGTTGCTTATTATCATCGAACAGATGACTACTTCACCTTCACAGGCGATGATCTTTTGTCGCTGTGCCGCAATCGTGATTCCATAGCGGACATACTGCGGAAAGTAGATGGCGTCTGGTGCTCGTACAGGTCGCCAAACGGTCCATATCTTTGGTACTGTTCAACGCAGAACACGAAACACCTCACCGAAATGATCAAAAAGCAAAAATCACCACGCTTCCAGAACCGAAGGTACCAACAACCAAACCGGACTCCCTACTCGAATAGGACACCAATGCCAACCAGCAGCGGAACTGGCCCGCGTGACAAGTTCTACCAAGACAACATCAATTTTATTCCCAAACGAAATAATTGGAATCGGGCACTGCATCGCTCGGCTGCGAATCATCCGTACATAGGAGCACCCCAATGGCGACAAGTACAGCAGGTCAAACCGATGAGGAAACCAGTGTTTCAGCCGATGATGCAGCCGATGCCTAATTACTATTCCAACAATGCGGTATGTTGACATAACCTCACTTGGTCATGCGGAGACGCTGAACATATTAGTGATCTAAACCTAACCTATTTTCCCTGTATCCCCATTGCAGATGCAGTCTGGACCCACGTTTTGTGGCCTTCAGATGATCGGAGACGACTTCTTCCTTTCACTAGCCAGATGGGAATTGGGATTCCTGTTTGACCCAGGTGAGTTTAATTTCTTTTCTTTTATCTTTTTTTCGTAATGTGAGAAACATAGTAAATGTATTTTTGTGATATTGGTCACTTTTCAATATTTTGATTTGGATTCTGATCTAACAATTTTGAGAGAGAAGAGCATAACTGACATACTAAGTATCTTGAGTGCAGAAATGGCGAAGAAAGGTAGAATATAATTTGAAACCTGAAAATCTATTTCATACAAACCAACGATAAATTCAGAAGACGAAATCATAACTCAATATTTATACAGTCAACTCTCCACAACTCGATATTCTATAACTCGATGTATTCAGCAGTCCCTTCATTTATCCATGCATGGTACTCTCTATAAGTCGATGCCTCCTTTGGTCGATGTTCTATATAGTGATATGTTGATTCTATAACTCGATATGTCAAAGGCAGAGCTTCTAAATTCTGTGATGTTGATGTTAAAATAAAAGGAACATTAAAAACATGACAGGGCTGGTAGTGAGTCACTTTTTACTGACTTTGTAACTTTTTTTCAAGCCAGTCATTAAAAAGTATCCATTTTTAAGGTCAAGTAACTAAAGTCACTTTTTCTTGTGATCAGTCACTATTTCAACTTTTATAGTTTGCATTTATTTCAAGATTGAGCATTCTTCTTGATGTTAGTCGAAAAATTCGAAGGTGTTGAGCTTCAATACAGCATTTTGACGTTTAATCGTCTTTCTCTATCTACTGGGTGTCATTTGGCTAAATAAAATGCACTGAGTTTTACAGGTTTCTCCAGAACATTAAAGGACAACTTTCAGGTTTACAATAAGAAAGCTTCTAAATGCATTAAAAATATGCTTTTTGTTTAACAACAACAACCGCAATTACCGCATACGTTTTCAAGTTTAAAAGAAACAGCTTTTGATTGTAAATGTTCAAGTTTACCATTTACTTAATTTTTGTCTATGATCTCAAAATATTCGATGCCTTGAAGTTTCGTATTCCATGTACAAATTCAAGATATTATAAGTGTCACAATTAAGGAAAACAAATGAATGTTTTATTTCAAGACTGCAATTATCTTTATGAAATATTCGAGATCTTCAGTGAAGTTCAACTAGCTTCACAAAAATTGAAGAAACTTTACAGAAGTGCTGAGGAATGGAAGGAAATGCTGAGAATTTCAGGGAAGCTTCATTAACAAACTGTGGGAACATAAGGGAAGTTAACATCCTGACAATATGGGGAACTTACTGGAAGATTTAAGAACCTCAAAGCAGTTCCATTATCTTCCGAAAAACTGCAGAAACTTTTAAGAAGTTCATAGAATTTCAGAGAACATGAGGAAAGTTGTGGAAACTTTTAAGAAGTTCTAGGTACCTTATAAAAGCTAGATCTAGAATTTAAAAAATCATAAGGGTAGATCCCGTAAATTTAGTCCAGACTTTTGGAGCAGCTAAAGATCTATAAGCGTAAGTTTAGATTTGAATAAAAAGAGTTTACTCTACTTTCCCGTGCTTTTCTTACGGGAAAAGTAAAGTAAACGCTTTTATTCATACGACCTATGGAGGCTCCGAGAACATCAAGACACATCAGATAACCAAATTTGAAGCATTCCGCTAACAACAAAATTTCATTACTTCATTATGATGACTACCAAGCCTTTGGGGTTTTTTCTTATTAAAGAGTTTTCTCCTTTACTTCACATAAATCTTTGGTTAGGTAGGTTCCGATTCTGCACGTTGTTTCATTTTTATACCTGTGATCTTGACAATTTTACCTAGGGGATAAGTACATAAGGGGGTTAGATTTTAATAAGTCTTTAATGGGAATAATACTGATGAATTGTAGTCGAAATACGTATCTGTCATGGATCCCAAAATTAATTAAGTGGAATTAAATGGAAGATAACTTTTTTGCTGTTTTATTTATACATTCCGCTAACAACCTAATTTCATTAACGGCGCCTGTGGTGTAGTGGTAAGCGTGATTACCTCTCACCCCAGCAGGCCTAGGTTCAATCCCAGTCGGCGCCGCCGGGATGTTCTGAGGCATAACATCTCTGATCACGCCTTCCTTCGGATGGGAAGTAAAGCCGTTGGTCCCCGGTTCATGAGTTGATGGGTCGATAGGTAGGGTCCAGGTGTGGGAGCTGCCTTCCTGGCACGTCGGTAGCATTGGTGCTCAGCACGGAAAACAAGATCGACGAAAAAAAACAAACCAAAGAAAAAAAAAAAAAACCTAATTTCATTAATTCATGCGTCATAAAGATGAGTGCGTGTAAATTTATTCGCAAATTCAAAGTGTTTCCTGGAGCCGGGGATGAAAACAACAATCATATTTGTAAACAATGAAAGCGTCATTGTCAGGCGGGTTTGTCTCTAGAAATTCCTGTCAAAAAGAGTTATATCAACGTTATATCCACCGTTCTAACTAACCCCGTATTCTCACTTGCCCCGTGCACCTTATTTCATTTTGATTTCCAAGAAAATTTCGAGAGCTTAAAGAAGTTTCAGAAAATTTCACAGAAGTACAGAGATCGATCTTCAGAAACATTTCGAGAGTTTCTTAGTAATCTATGGAACGAGAATTTCAGGAACAAAGAAGTTTAGTAAGCTTCAGAAAATAGGGGGGAAATTTTAAGAAATTCCCAGATTTTCTGAGAACTTTAGAGAAAAATATTGAGTTCTTCACATAAGTTCAGAAGCTCACGGAAGCGTAGGCATTTTAGGACATTTCAATTAAATTCAAGGCAGTACAACAAGCTTCATGAGAACTACAAACACGCTTCGAGAAATTCAGGAAAGAACAGAGAACCTCAGAGTAGTACAGTTAAAAGTTGAGAAATTACATAAATTTTAAAAAAAAAGTTTCGAGAACTTCCGCGATTTATTAAAACTTTAGAGAAGAATTTGAGAAAACTTTAGGCAGTCCGAAAAACTTCAGGGAAGTTTAAAAATTTGATTAGAAGCATCAGATTAGTTTCTCGTTATTGTTTGAGAACTTTAAGGCAGTTTCATTATATCCAGGAACAAGTAGCTCTGAGGACCTCAAAATATTCCATTCGATTTTCAACGGATAAATGAAAATATTTTTGGAGTTCTCCGTTTGCAATCGCTTTGTATTCTCCCGAAACTCTAATGGAATTATTCCAGAAATTTACTTGGAATGCTTCTCTAAAAAAAAAATCACCGAATATAGTTAGTATAGGTTAGTATACTTCTCGCAATTCCGTTGAAATAATTTTCCAAATTTCATTTTTAGCTATCCTCCAAATTCAATTTTTTTAATTTTCCTCGGACTTACCTTGAAATTCTCCTCAGTCAGAAACCCTTTGGAAAGGGGTCTCGGTAAGTTTTCCAGTGAGATCCAGCAAAATAAAATGCCGAGTTGGTCGGTGGTGCCCATCTCGGCAAAAAATCTAAGTGTGTAGATTTTTTGAAACACCTCTTGGCCTTCCGACACCATCCGCATATGTAGAACTCGGTTCAGGAAGTTTAAGTATCCGTTCGTCACCAATATCACACAAAAAAATCCGGAACAACGCAAAATCCAAAAATTTGACGGGAGGAAATTTTTTCGCTTCCATCTACAAATGAAATTAGAGTGGTGCCTCTGGTTATTGCCTTAGTTATTGCAGTTGTATAACAACTAATTTGATGCAACTTTACTGAAGATACAAATGTTATATTTCTAATGGTTCTTTACTGGTTTTAAAAATGTAGTTTAGGGTGACTCCAATAAAAAAAAATTTACATTAACTTTTGATACATTGATGTCTCGCAAATGATTTCAGTGCCAACATTTCAAAGGGGCGTAATTGCTTTTGTAAACAATGGCTTTAGCCGTCGATTTATCGCAAATAAAAGCTAACTCCTCCAAAAAAAAAAATACTAGCTGGTAGAGGAAACATTCCTCTACCTGTTGGTGCAATTAATTTTTATGAGCGATCTTTTAGTTGCGAGAAATCGACGGCTAAAGCCATTGTTTACAAATGCAATTACGCCCCTTTGAAATGTTGGCACTGATTTGTTCTAAAAGCTTTTAGGACTTTTGATGACGCATTTCTTTGCTGAAGTAACCAAATTGCTATTTCTTTCAGTTGGAAAGTTATTAATGATTTTTGTTGCTATTTTCAAATGTGGATATCTTAAAAAAGGAGCAAGTGGATTTGTATGCTGTTTGATGCATTTGAAAGAGTGATTTCATTCGTATATAATGTAACATTACGGGAGTCTTTAATGTTTAACTCATATAATTAATTTAAAAAAGGCGTATTTGTTCACGAAAATTATGGATACTTATAGAACTATAGATAGTGGATAGTTCCGTTAGAGTATGGCAGTATGAAAATTGAATAGAAGTTGAAAATGAGCGAAGGGCAATTAATGCGACAGTACAAAGTCAAACGCACACCTTTTTGCCTAACCCGTACGATGTACGCAGAGATTTGAAGTATGTCTTCAAATCTATAGGCCCAGACATACTTCAAATCTCCGCGTACATCGTACGGGTTAGGCAAAAAGGTGTGCATTTGGCTTTATACTGTCGCATTAATCGCTCATTTTCAACTTCTATTCAATTTTCATACTGCCGTATTCTAACGGAACTATCCACCTACCCTCTTCTAAAGATCATTCTCTAGCTAATAAATTATCACACTAAAGCTTCATGTTAGCATTTCCAACCAACACTATATTGCTAGTTTAAATTAAATACACTGAAACAAGGACCATAGTTAGGGATACTGTTTTGCAGAAAACACTTAGGGGCTTATTACGGATGTCACTTCACGGTGAAAACTTGTCACTTGTCATTCCCATTTGATTTGTACGGCTCTTATTATGAGTATCACTTTCTTATCACCGTGTAGTGACACCCGTAATAAGGCCCTTATTATCAATATAACCACGCTTAAAGCAGCGCCGGTGGCGTAGTGGTAAGCGTGATTACCTCTCACCCCAGCATGCAGGGGTTCAACCCCAGTCGGCGCCGCCGGGATGTTCTGAGACATAACATCTCTGATCACACAGGGAAGTAAAGCCGTTGGTCCCCGGTTCATGAGTTGATGGGTCGTTGGGTAGGGTCCAGGTGTGGGAGCTGCCTCCCTGACGTCGGTAACATTGGTGCTCAGCACGGAAAACAAGATCGACGAAAAACAAATCAAGGAGAAAAAAACCACGCTTTTTACTGTTAAATCTACTATACGGATAGAAATCTCCTTATACCTTTTGGCAAATTTCTATGGCCAAAATAATAAGCAGACACCTTGCAAAAAGCTAATGAAGATCATGTGTCAAATAAAATGTATAAGCGGTCACACATACCTTTTATGCATTCTTATAGGACCTATGTGGTTTGTCTTATGGAATGTATGAGGCTGATTTTTTAATGCATTTCAGTTTTGAGTAGAGTGAAAGAGATAGAACCAAAATATTCTAGTACATTTGGTGAAAATGCTAGTTCAATCCAGTAGTAGTGTTGCCATGTGGTACAATCCAGTAGTAGTGGTGTTGCCATGTGGTACACTGAAAAATTGCAATAGCAGGTTAGTCACCAAAGTTTTCGAGCCGCTCCGTCTGTCACTTCGTTTATGCTACTACTGGATTGAACTAGCATTTTCACCAAATGTACTAGAATGTTTTGGTTCTATCTCTTTCACTCTACTCAAAACTGAAATGCATTAAAAAATGACAAAATGATACGCACTCTTTGCACACTGTCAAAGAATCATTGTACACAAAATCAACTTTGTGCAAAACCAAAACAAAAATACTATCCCATCTGGTGGATGATGGCACAAGCTTCTAAGAAAATTATATTACAGTGAACCACATTATTTTAATTGATTTCTTCGCCAGTTAGTCGTCTGTCACTTCGTTTGTGGTTTTACTGTTTAATCTAATAATGTTGTTTTTTTGCATTTCTAGGACACAACATTCAACAGAGTGGCCTTTGCGTTTCCGGTATGACAATCGCGGAAGCAGCGGACCGTGTAATGAAGGCCACCTACATTAACGATCGGGTCATAGTTAACGTAGGCGTCGTGGATTTACTGCATGGCCACGACTTGGTTGATATGCAGCAGGACCTACTCCAGCTGTTGAAAAATCTGGAAATCCGTGGTGTTTGCGCCATACTCACCACACTGTCACCATTGGCGAACAGTTCGCATATACCCGGCATCACTGACCGGTTACACAAGTTCAATGAACTCATACGCAAATTTCATTGCCAGTATGTCGACGTTTGGAGATGCTTCGTTAATGAACGATACAATACTCTGTACGAGTGTTTCCAGCCGGGACCCAGACAAGTCACAGGCAGCAACAAGCCGCATGTCTTGTGGAACAAGCTGGGTCGCCAACGTGTTATCAAATTCATAAAAACGGAACTCGCAGGATTGATTTGAGATCCAACACTTTAAACAATTACGGCCGAATTGTCACTCTAGCGTACTTGTATTTTTAATGTGTGCTCGGGTAGCTATTAAGCATATTTTTTCGAAAATTGTTTATCTGTTTAGAACACTTAAGGGGTAATATTTTCAGTAAGTCAATTGGTGAGATGTAAGGCTGTAGCCATTGTTGATCGTTGAGTAGCAAGCTATTTTGAAAACATCCGGACGTTTTTGAAATAGCTTTCTATGATGGAGATGATCCATTTGATCTTTCGACGCCCGGGTAGAAAGTATTATTGGATGATCTCTTGCTGTGTGGAACCTTTTCAGATTGAATCGCAGGCGATATTTTCTCTGAAGAGGTTCTTGCCATAAGCTTTCTCTATTGGGATACCGGTTCCCATTGGACACCAAGCGCACGACAATGGCAAAGGTCCATTTTACTGGCTACAATTCTAACGTACTACGCCGTAAAAATGAAAAATATAACATTAGATGTAAGAGAATGCAACAACAGATTGTGAAACCAAATATTAGTTACCAAAAATTTATAATACTCTAGGAAGATTTTTAAAAGTTAAGTTAGAGAAGAAATCACTATTTCACACAGAAGAGTGTTCATTATTTTGTGATGTATTTGTATTTTGAATAAATTTTTGTTATATGTTGTGTATATAAAGTATTTTCAAAGAACCACCGACCCGAAATCAAAAAACCCTTTTTAAGAGCCATATTCTACGTTTCCACGCTACTTTATGCAGATAACTTTAAATTACACATTGGTTAGCATAAAGTTAGCTATTAACTAGAAAGCAATCAACCAAAGAAGTTGTCACCAAAATACAGTCCTCAACTTATTAAACTGGGATCTGCAGACAAATTTCAAAATTGTTAAAGATGTGGCCCTGGGCTCATAACGTTGAACTTCCGTGATGTTCAGAGTAAATGTCTACCGGACCAAATAATCAGCTTCCTGATTCCCCCGGATGCCGCAGTGCACGGGAATCCAAATTAAATTCTTGGATTCAAAACACTTTTTAACCTATTGATTTCACACCTCAATCATTCTTGTCATTAGTAGGGTAGAGAACAACTTCGGCCTAATCGCCCATTTTGGGCCTATCGAGCAGAAAACATCACATAAATTCATTGTTTCAGAGTTAACAAATCAATTATGCGTTTGATACGCTGCTTTAGTTCAAACCGAACCGAACGAAATCAATGAGAGCGCGTGATATGAATGTTCACACCCATTTTACTCAAAAACAAAAGAAACGCTCCGACCGAATCAATTTTTATCTTCATCCGATATGCCGAAGGGAATTCAATGGCGCTTGAATGCGTTTCAATGCGTTAGGCCGAATTTAGAATCCGTAGGCCGAGTTTGGCGTCAAGAAGCAGTGTTAGACTTTTATCAGAATTTGTTTCTCTTAATGAAATCTTATGGTACGTACTGAAAGGTAAATAAGTTAGAAGCCATAAGTTATAATAACATTCCGTTGGTGCTAAACTACGCTAGATTAAGAAAGACTAAGTACGGGTTGTGCTTAATAGGCCGGGAATGGGGTAGTTAACCCTATTGCTCAGCCCCCACCCAAACCAGGAGAGAATTTACAAAGCCTATGCGTTAATACATGCCAGACCGTTTGGCATGCCACCATCCTTCAAAAGCAGGCTCAGTTTTTAGACTGTTCCCACTAGTGTCAGATACATTAAATAGGAATAGATAAGGGAGGGATGATTCAATTGTGGGGCTGAAAAGAAACAAAATAAAAGAAACGGATAAATTATTAAATTATTAAAGTTTTGCAACATTCGGTTTGGTTTAGTTATTATTATATCGTACACGATAGTTTGTGGCTGAAAGATAAAAGAAACAACAACAGAAACAACATTATTTTCTACTTCTTGACTAGTTAATTGTAATTAGTTATTGGTAGTAATCACTTAGTTATTGGTAGTAATCTCCTTTCAGTAAACTCCCACGAGCTATACTACCAAAGTTAGTTAAAACAAAACAAAATACTCTAAAATTGGGCATAACATATATGAGAATTATTAAAATTGTATAGAGAAGTGACGAACATTCCCTAACCGTAAAACTAGCACATCTTGCTTATTTAAACTATTCCAAAATAGGAAGCGATAAACCATATTGCATAGGATAGGATGCACTTCAATTATGTAGAAAATCTATGCTCAAGAACGGCTTTCTTTCATATTAAAATCTACTAAATTTCAGTAAACGTAACGGCGAATTAAGAGCTTCACTATTTATTTTGAAATGCTTCAAAAAATAAATCAAAACTATATTTAAAGTAACGTAAGTTAGATAATTCACAGAATTACATCATTGTTAATTGCTACAATAATTTTAAATGCATCGATTGTTGCATTCCTTCCATTGGATCATGAAAAAAATAGATCGATGATATCACTGCCTGTAAGTTTAGGATTTTATGAAACAGCAAACTACGCACATAGGACCCCCTAGGACAAATCTAATTCATATCTTCTACCGAGGAAATAAAAGTATGCGTACAGAAATAATCCACCACGTAGTTTTTGATAAAACGTTGATCTAGAATTACGAAAGGAAACGATTTATTTGAAGAAAATCACGAAATTAGATGATTGATGTTACTCACCCGGATACTGGTTCAAATAAATGATATTATCTGCCACATGTTTGGCGAGTCTTTTGAACAGGAACCTATTGGCAATTAGACCATCATTTAGTGGCTTCATTAGCGCTTGCACAACCCATTTTGCAATCCGCTGACGACAGCTAGACACCAATATTTCATTTAACTCAATCGATGGACTGTACGGACCCAATTCATCCTCTTCTTCTTCGTATTCGCCGAAAAAAATCACAAACCGAGCGCGGATACGTTCGTACCTCAGATAGTTCATATCGGCAATATTGCTCAGTAGTTCCCGTAGTTTTGTTTTCTGCATATGCAATTCACATGGCCATAGGCTTTTCTTAAGGTCAGCCTTCTTTTCCTCGCTAGATCCAAGCTTGGAATACTCTTTAGATACAAGCAAACCAGTGTGTGCATCGTCAAAGTCGTATTTGGGGGATTGCAATTCAAGAATTTCTTGTTGAACTTCAAGGATCTGCTGATTAGGTGGCTTACGTGTTGAGGAAGAATGTTCACATGCATTTGTAGGTTCAAACTTTTCAATCTCGTTGATGATGGCATTGATTTGAACTTGATTTTCACAGGAATCAAATATGTTTCCATTGTCGCCAGTTTCGAACATAGCTTCCAATTCTCGCATAATTTGATCGTCTTGAGCACCATCGTTTCCTGGCTCAGGAAGCTTGGTAATAGGGGACATCAAGGTATCTATTGGCTTTCGCTGCTGATCTTTCAGATTGTCTTCCCCTTCATGGTGCAATGAATAGCATGAATTGTCCTTCCTTTCCATGTGGGAAGACGAACGATCCCTATTACGAGATCGGGATCGTTCCTTGCGTCTGCTTTTTTCACGTTTACTTTTTTTAGCCCTTAGCTCCGGGCTAGTTAGTTGCATTTTACGTTCAAAATTGCGAATTTTCTCATCCAGAGACATCGCAGGTACATCCAGAAGTGGAAGATCATTGCTTTCGAGAAAATTTACCATATTTGCTTGTATGCTATAGGGTTCCTCATACGGATCGGTTTGGACTGCTACATGGGAGCATTCTTTCTTAATTATCTTTGGTGTGAACTTCATGTTGATAAGGGTCGGGTGCAGGCTAACTTCTTTGGTTTCCTTACGAATTTGCGAGATCTAGAATATTCCATACAAGTGTTATTTTTAAGGACAGTAATAGACGATTAAGAAAACAATCTTACCAACTTGAGAACGTAATTTCGATACAATGACATGATCATACAGGACTGCACCTGCAAATATTTCATTCAAATTACTTCCAGAAAACTAGGTTTAACAATGCTATTATCGTAATTGAAATTGTAATTGTAATTGTTCAGTGCATATCCCGTGCCTTCCACTAAATTGGCGTATCTAGGGACCAACCCCCAGGTCTATGCACCTACTGTCATTCCAGTTGTACTGATCACTCTAGACTAACATGGATAGTCACATCCGGATACTCCATTGGGTGGGCTCAAGTGTCCGTCCAGGTTCTGGTACATTAACTTATATCTATGCATGGTTGAAGCTACTACTATTTGAAATTTTAATTTGATCTGTGTTGAATAACAGCACTTCATATGTAGGACTATAGTTTTACATCAAAAGGATTGAATTAATAATTCTTTAAGGCAAAATGTTCTAATTACTGCAATATTATTGCCCGTGTGGTGCTTGCTTAAAGGTGTTTTCTTGCATAGCCCATCTAGTCTTTTTTCTCATCACACTTTGCAATTTCAAGACTACAACTATTTCGCGAAATGCCCCATCTCGCGGAATTTCATTTCGCAGAATACCCCATTCCTCTTAATTTCATTTTGGTGGCTGATTATTTATATAAACAGCTTTCGGTGCCAAAGACTACGATAAAGAAAACTCGAAGAACTGCGTTTAAAAGAAGAAAAAATACCTTAAAATTATTTAATCAGGATCAAACCATTCCATCAAATGAAATGCCGCGAAACGAATTATATCGCCAAATGGAAGTCCGTGAAATGGATCATTCCACGATATGGACTTCTACAAAATGGGTTTCCAATGAAATACCGTACAGCCCACATAACTCAATCATAATGTAGATATATCTGTAAATTTCAGAAATTGCTTGCTTGTCCGCAGCATAAAATCCAGTTTTGGTTTCAGTTACATGACTACATTCACAAAACCCTGATATTTTGAATTGTGAAATTGCGAAGTGTAATAATGGAAAAAGGACAATGCAAAAATTAATTTAAAACCAAACTATATTGAACAAATCTAGGCCAAATAGTAAGACAGGAAACGAATTACATATTCAAAGTAGGGAGCATTTTTTTTGCTAAATATTCTCTTCTTTTTGATATATTAAATATAGGGAATACTCCCTTCTATATTGAATATTCGAAGGAAATATTTTAACAATAGTGACTTGTACGATTACAATTCTTTCCGAAAGAAAGATCGATTCGTAAAGATTATGGCAAATGTTCGTTTTACCTAGTGGCCATTATGCCAAATGTACCAAAACCGTCAGGACAATCTTTGGAGATCTTACTTACCGCTTTCATTTCAATACTTGCAGCGCATCTTTTCACCTCATCTGGTGTGAATGTTACACTTTCATACGGTTCCACCGTACTGGACCATGCATCGTAGTTATTTTCCAGTAATTTTTCCAAGAAATTCAAGTACTGCAGCCGTACCTTTCCCGTCAGCCGGTGCGCCGGTAGATCGATACTATCTATAGTCTCTAGCAATTCCATCGGGTCGGCAAGGTGTTCCTCGACGTTTGGAACCTTGCACGGTGCATCGTTCAGGTATTCGTAGAAGATGTCCGATTTTCTGTACAACAGCTCGTACGGATCATGTTCCGGCTCGGCGCAGTACTGTTTACCACTTGTAGTCCTGCGTAAATGAGGTCTTCTATAAGTTTCGTTTATGAAAAATATCTTACATCATGGATATTACCACTTTTGCTTCGGCATTATCGAAAATTGAAACAACCGAACTGGCACGATTGAAATTATGATAAATGTTTACAACTGCATTTTTCCTAAAACAACAAACGATAGAGAACCATCGATATGAGTGCAATCGGACGAAGCGGACAAGAATAATGGTTATCGCCGGTTTTGTTTTGATCGATTATCAGAATCTTGCAGTGACAAGGTCTTAGATTTAGGATAGGGTTGCTTGCACGCTATCGCAGCATTCAACTTAGGCTCTGAACCATTTGGTGGATTATTTTAACTTTTGGTTAAAATTTGACAGATGAAAAGTTATCGATTAACCCTGCTATCCGAGCATGGTTATTTCTGACAGACAAGAAGTTAAATTTTGACAACCGTGGCTCGAAAACCGGTCGATCGACAGCACGGGGATTTTCGAACATAGAAAATAACTTTCGAAATGTCACTTTTAACCACGAGTTAAATTTAACTCGGCAAATGGTTCACAGCCTTAATTGCGCATTTAGTACTTTTTGATGTTATGTCGCGTTTGGTGTTAAAATGACGATAAATAAAATCTATATATCGTGTATTTAAGTTGTTAATAATTAATTTTGTATATGTTTGTATACAATCTTAAATTATCAACATCCAAAAATTCGCCAACAAGAGTTACTAAATGAGACAACAAGAGTTAGTACCTTTTTTGTATATAAACCTTTGCTCAAATGATCAACTGTGGTAAACAAATTGCGCCGCACTACCAGAGTTGCCAGAGTAATTTTTCGATTATCGGTACCATCCGTTCACAGAAATCAAAATTAAATTATTGGAATTTATTTATTGAACATAACTGACGAAGATCTTGAACGGTGCATACATGTTTGGAGCGGTGAATGCATTTTATAAGGGCACTATACACAACGGGTTGATCGTCTGAATATGTCTGAAAATACCTATCTTAATGAGATTATTGATTAATTATTGCATGTTGCTGTTTTTTATCTCTATTTCACTGCTTCCTCTCTCTCTCTAATAAAAAAAACCATACCCGAACGACAACCCAAATGATAGAACATGTTCCATAAAAGGTTTAGATCAGTGCTAACATTTGAAAACGGCGCAAAAGCCATTTGTAAACAAATGGTTTGTGGGCCCTTTACTCGCTACCCGAAGAACGCCCACACAAACCAACAGCATCGTCAGGAAGGGGAAAATTTCCCCTACCCGATGTTGCTGTTGTGTCGCGTGGGTGTACTTCAAGTAGTGAGTAAAGGGCCCACAAACCATTTGTTTACAAATGGCTTTTGTGCCGTTTTCAAATGTTAGCACTGAGATGATACCCAGAACACGTCATTTAACAAACAACAATACAAATTTTATTAGGGCTGGCAACCGGAAGATTTTTTTTAAATTTATTATGCGCTTTTTTTTTATTTTAAATTTTTTTTCTTCTTTGATCTTGTAGCAGATGTAACATTGATTCGATTAAATTAAATTTAAATCACACTGTAAATTATATTGTATACGAGATTCGGCTATACAGTCTGGAGGGTTCAAACGATAGGTTTTTAACTGCCCAACGTTTCGGGTGTTTTTGGTTGCCTTCTTCAGAGGAAATTAGTTCAATCGGTTACGTTCAATATATTGATTTCCAATATGGGTTGTCTCATCTGATTTTGGTTGTGGATGTTTTTGGATAAATCGCGCTTGCTTTTCACCACTGGACACGGACACTCTCTAATACCCCGTTCACATTACAGCGCATATCACGTGATATACGCTGTCTTGCAATGAGCACTCATACATCTAGTTTTCACTGGAAATCCTATGTATGAGTGCTCATTGCAAGACAGCCTATATTACGTGATATAGGCTGTAATGTGAACGCGGTATAACTGTGCATTCAAAAAGGTGAATTATGTGTGTCGTGTGAAACGTTGGGCAGTGAAGCGCCCATACTCCGTTGCGCATCCATGTTTCACTCCCGTGTTGAAGTGCCCAACGTAGAGCAACAACTCGCGTGGTCTTTCTTTCTCCGTAAAATGAAAGACAGTGCAATTCCATTTCTACTGTATGGAAAAAGCTCTTTGATGAATCAGTTATCCTGAGGTTGGAACTGTGCTCGTCCGCACCTAGCAAACCTCGGATAATAAACTCATCAGAACAACTGCCCCGATTCTTTATTCTTCGAAACCTTTTATACATGAATTTGTTACTTAAACTCTACACAATAGTTTTTCTCCAGTATGTACATATAAAAATCAACGATACAGTGGTTCCTTTTTCTCACATGTACTTAACCATTTACTACTTATACTCTCTTTATTTCTAGAACCTTCCTCTCAATCATACCTGTATCTAGCAAGCCACAATTCTTGCCATAACTTGTATGCAACTCCTCTCTCTCTCTATGTGTACTCTCATGCTCTCAGCGGGCCAAACCGCCTCTCTTAAGTCACCGCCTCTTAATTCTTAGTACATAGTGTTCATTCATTAATTCATTAGCATATATTCTAGTCTCTTTCATGAGTCATGTCCCCTGTTCGAACGTAGCGACATACTCTGGCGTCTTCATTTGTTTATATTGATATTTAATTTTGCTACTCTGCATGGCCCTGTTATTTGTTCCCATTTGGAGCGCCACTATGAACGTTACGCTGCCCTTCAATGTTTATTTGTTTACATAACCGAATGAAAACATTTCCACCTGTTTGGCGTGTGGTGGTTATTCATTTGCTAATCTTTTCTATGCTTACGTTTACGCTGAGTCAGTGAATCTTGGGTTTACGGAAAATGGGGCGTTGCAGGCAGTTAAAATCTGTCATCACTGTGTCACTTAATCATTTTTCTATTATTTCAGGCATAACATTTGATAACGGCACAAAAGCATTTGTAAACAAACCTTCTAAGGCCCTTTACACGCGAACCAAAGTAAGCCCACGCAAACCAACAACATCATCGCATAGGGGCAACTATCACCTTTCCGTAAGTGGTATTGGTTTGCGTGGGCGTACTTTAGTTCGCGTGTAAAGGGCCTTAGAATGTTTGTTTACAAATGCTTTTGTGCCGTTATCAAATGTTATGCCTGATTTTCTCCTATTCGCCACGAGCGGTATCGTTAGATCGCTAATATGGTATGGAGCTCAAAAATCGGTTGAAATACCAATATCGGTAGTTCTGGCAACACTGTACACTACACTTGTTTTGTATCCGCACTCGTTGGTGAATCGAAGTTCAGCGCGTCGTGAATGAGATTTGCTACCAAAACGAATCTATGAAATAAATATTGTTTTAAACAAAGTGTTATCGTAAAAATTAAAAGTTCATGAAATCTTAATAATACTTCCAACATGTGTGGACGAACGTGCCTGTAAGTTTAAACCAAATTAAAGTAAGACCTTCATTATTAATGGAACTTTATCAAAACAGTCTACCAAGCCCGGTAAGGGTCCGTTTTGCAAGGCAGAACAGGCTGATAGAAGCTTTAAATTTTTATATTAGCCTTAGATATCAGCCATATGTGTAAATATTTAAATCTTAGGTAATCATGACGTTTTGATATTTGAAAACAACGCGAATGAAAAAAAAAGAGGCCTATTGCGTCAGAATCTGTCATGATTACCTGAGTTAAAAAAAAAACGAATATTTACGCTGTATGCAGCGAAAAAATAATGGTTTCTGGAAAGGTACATTTGGTATAAGTACGTTTGGCATAATGTCCACGGTCATATAGCATAATTGCTATTATTCGACATATTTTTGAGACCAATGAGTTAATTTACAATCCTTCTTTTAATTTAGTTTGCACTGAAGTTTCCTGGAACTTTTCGTAGAATTCAACGTAAACTTTCGTTAAAAGTCTCCTCACCTTTTCCTAAGTATACTCCTAAATTCCTTTGAAATATTCCTCAGGATTCCCTTTGACATGTTCGCAGAAAATCTGGGAATTTTCCTCTCAGAATTCCCTTGAAATTATCCTGAATTTCCCTTGGAATTTTCCTCAGAATTTCTATGAGTTTATTAACAAAACTCAAATTAAATTCTTTTATCCATATAGGTATTCGCAGAATTTTCTAGGAAAGCTCCCAGAGATTCTGTTAACATTTTATTTGAGTCTCTTGAAATCATCAGCAGATTTTTTTTTTGCAACTATTCTCAGAATTCGGTTCCCATGGAATTCTTTTCAGTATTCCATTAAAAAATCTGCACGATTTTTGCCTAATATTATTAATTATTTTGTTGGACATTGTTCTAAAGTCTCAACATTCGAAATTCTATGTACTTCGGTAGTACTGTACCAGGGAGGCAACTTCAAAATCATCTTCAGAACTTTGTTCTGAATCCTTTGAAGTGCTTTTTTCGTGGTAGCGTAAAGCATGGCCGGTCTAAAAACTTGTTTAAATATTAGAAGTTTATTCGTCAGGCAAAGTTTGGATTTCGTGTTTAACGGAGACGAACCAGCTCAGGGCTGAAAGTCTCCTTAATAAAAAAATCTCTCTCGCGTACAAATTCCTATTAGAATGCAATGAGATTTATATCTTGATTTTTTAAATGCATCACGAGTTCGAAATTCTCGAAGTGCTTTATTATGGATTTCATCCTCGAATCCATGGTTTTCAATTCTCTACCTTTGGAATTCTAACCAAAATTTCTGTGAAGTGCCAGATTCTTGAAAAAAAAAAATCTATTTTTCAAAAACATTCATTGAGTTCTACTACCCCCTCCACCTGGCAACACCTATATTTACAGTCATGCTGAAATCAACTGCTCAACGTGAATCTGAAATTATTTAATAGAATTTGGTACCTGGTTTTCAAGCTTTTTCATTCAAGAAGCACCTTTCGATATCATAGAAGGAGCACTCTGAGCACTGTATTGCAAAATACAACAATCTTATTCTTATGATAGACATGATTGTAGTACCGTTGTACTCCTTTAATTACGTTGATTATGGTACTGGTACGGTACTATAATCATGACTGTTGAGAGTATTAGGGATTCAGACCATTAGGGACTGTTCATAAACCACGTAGAAACCTTAGGAGGAGGAGAGGGGCATTTGCGGATTGATGGCCTAATGTCGCAACGCCACGTGGTTTCTCAACTACACTCATATATCATACCTGAATTATTTTAAGCGCTATTAATTATTGTCTATAAATCTCACCCTCTTCCCAGAACGCTTGAACCGAAAGAGATCCAATGCTGCTGCAGATATCAAAAAACCACGCAGACTAAACCCAAATCTCCAGAATATCGAAATGAATTCAATTGCGGTCGAAAGTACCAACCATCCCACAACGTCGCTCCAACGGACATAACACCAGTGCTGGTTTCTGCAGCGTATTTTGACGAGAACAAGGACAGCGCGGAGCGAACAATTGTACCGATGATGTGGAGCATGGTCCCCCGTTGGCATAAGGGTGATTATCGCAAGCACGGTCTTACAACGAACAACTGCCGATTGGAGAGTTTGGCCAAGTCTAAGCTGTACGGTCCACCGCTCGAAGCCGGTCACCGATGTGTGATTCTCTGCGAAGGATTTTATGAGTGGCAAACGACCAAGGAACTTAAATCATCCGAACGACCTGCATTCTACATTCACATGCCCCAGAAGGAAGGCGTGAAAATCGAAGATAAATCCACGTGGGATCTCGAAAACAACGGTGGAATTAATCTGTTGAAAATGGCTGGCCTATTTGATGTTTGGGAAGATGAAAATGGCGACAAACTGTACAGCTATACATTGATTACATTCGAATCCAACAAGAAATTCTCCGAAATCCACCACCGCATACCGGCAATTCTGGAAACGGACGAAGAAGTTGCTTCTTGGCTCGACTTCCGCAAGGTAGGTGCTACTCGAGCGTTAAACATGTTGAAGCCATGCGAATCGATCCAATGGTACGGAGTGACCAATTTAGTAAACAACTCCAGAAACAAATCAGACCAGTGCAATAAGCCGATTGGAGAGATCAAATCTAGCATGAAGGCAACAGTTACCCCCAAGAGCAAGATGATGCAAAACTGGTTGATTGTAAAGCAGAGAAGTAGCGATGATGCGAGCGTAAAAACGGAAGCTGATGAATCAAAACCACAACAGAAGAAATTGAAACAAGAAGATGCCGAATAAGTCGTTCTTTCTATTAACTTACAAAAAAAACTGCATTTGATTTCTATTCCGTTGCCATATGTTCATTATTTGTGCTAGAATCGTTACTCTTTCTCATTTGTAGCTGCTTACGAGAAATAAAATGCAACTTCAGATGTTGAACTGTCTGCGCGTTTCCATCCCATTGCTGAAACTTTTTAAATTCGAGCGCATCGGAAAGATTGGGCAACTCCAGACCACCGCCGTTGAAATTCTCCAGTTCCTTTTCCAGTGTTATCTTTATGGTTGCCTCACGGGACGCGTGCTGATTGTTCCGTTGTTTACTGATTGACTGAACCAGTTTGATCTGCTCCAATTCCTCCTCAAAACGTGCAAGATATCTGTAAGTTGAAAATTATGTTTATTAGATCGAAACAACTAGATGCGGAATGCATCTAACGTACGTGTCTATCAGCTGTTCAAATTCCTCACTATTCAACGGTTCCTTTCGGTCTTCCAGGTGTTCTGCAAACCAGCCCAGCTTTTTGCCCACTATGTTGGCCTTAACGGCGTGACCCATCTTCTTCTTCTCGCGGTTGTTAATTCTAAACATAAATCATTAAACATCCATAAGAAATAGTTTTACGTTCGAAGAGTGTAATGTGTAGCAACTTACTTTTTCACTTTCCTGGCCAGCGCCAATGTTTTCCGACTTTGGGGATGTTTGCACTTGACTAGTTCCTTTAGCATGTTTTTCGGCTAGTAGGGAAGTATTGAAACGAATCCAATAAATCAGATAAAAACAAACATTTTGAATACGAATTACAATAACCAATTACCATTGTGTATGTTGTTAACTTCTTGATCACGTAATAGAATTATTTCACTGGATCTACCTGTATTTTACAAAATTTTCCTGGACTCTCAACCGTATTAGCTGTAAAAAAATATTATGGTTAAGGAACACATGAAAACTGAACGTAAACAAATGCACGTGCCGTAGACATTTTCGATCAACTGTGACATGCGATGGCTTCACGCTATTTCAAAATTCCCAAATTTGGGTATAATCCACCTATATCGGTTAAAACTGAACCTACCCAAAAATGAGTAAACTATGTTAGGAGTGACAAGTTGACAAATGAACAAAGTCGATCGGATTCATGTCGACGTTGTCCATTTGTCAACATGTCACTCCCAACATAGTTTGCCCATTTTTGGGTAGGTTCAGTTTTGACCGATCTGGGGTGGATTCTACCCAAATTTGGGAAGTTTTGAAATAGCTACCAAAACGAAAATCTGTCAGCTATAAAACTAAACATCAGGTCAAGGAAACATTTCCGGAGTGATTTGAGATTTGGACGTAATTGCTTTTGAAAACAAACACGTCAATCACTGATTTCTCTTGAATAAAAGCTCAATCTCACAAACAAACTATACCAAATGATATTAGAGGAATCATTCCTCTACCTCATAGTGTTATTACTTTTCGAGATTGAGCTTTTATTCGCGAGAAATCGGTGATTGACGTATTTGTTTACAAATGCAATTACGCCCAAATCTAAAATCACTCCGGATTTATAATTCAGCTTTCAATCCCAGATTAATTTATTATCTACTTTATCTACTATTGAAGATGTAAATGCAGATTGTAATTGTAATTTATTGCTACCAAAATGAAAACCTCTCAGTTATAAAACAAACTACCCTAATAAATTTGTAATTGCTATTTTGTTTAACGACGTGTTCGGGGTATTCGCCTTGACACCAGTCCCGAAGTGATGTTTCTTCACACACATTTTGACAGTTCCTTATGGGGTTTTGCATTGGAGGGAGAGAATAAGAAAAAGTCCGCCATATTTCACACATAGACTGACAGTTACATATGAGATTTCTCCATAGGAGTAGAGTTACAGAGCTCTCTTCAACGGCAATCACCCAACCATTTGTGGAATAGTTCTATCATTTGGGTTACCGTTCGTTTATGGTATATTTCTATTAGGGTATTAGGGTATACATTAGATCAAGGAAAGAACAATTTCAACATCGGGTACCTAACGAGCAACCCTAATAAAAATACCATAAACTAACGATTTCCGAAATCATAGAACTATTCCACAAATGGTTTGGCTGATACCCTGAACACGTCGTTAAGCAAAATAACCATACACATTTTATTAGGGTTGCCAATCGGCGTCACCGGCACTTAGTGTCAAGATGTAGATAATAACCCATATTCTCGTTTTCGTTCGAACCAAATTTTCCATACAAAAAAATAGTTTTTTTTTATATGGAAAATACGGTTCGAACGAAAACAAGAATATGGGTGAATATTGTTATAAACACAGAGAACAGACGTCCAACTTCCGTTACGTGGCCCAAGCATTTTTTTTTCCTTTAGTTTGTTTTCCGTGGTACCGACGCCAGGGAAGCAGCTTCCACACCTGGACCCTACCTTTCGACCCATCAACTCATGGACCGAGGACCAACGGCTTTACTTCCCTTCCGAAGGAAGGCGTGATCAGAGATGATATGCCTCAGAACATCCCGGCGGCGCTGACTGGAATTGAACCCAGGCCTGCTGGGTGAGAAATAATCACGCTAACCACTACACCACCGGCGCCGTTTAGTGGCGCAAGCATATCCTGATTTCCTCTATACATTTTCCACTTTCGATCAATTTGGCGCTTGTGTCGATACATTTTCTGTTGAAAAATGCCACTCAGCGCCTCGCTCAGCGCTACCTGCACTTAGTGTCTAGTCGCAGAGAACAGACGTCCAACTTCGGTCAGAAACTTGTGTAAAGATAAGCGGGAGCATCATCGTTAGGTGGCGCTAGAATCACCGACGAACCGACATGACAGTGGAGGATTTCGTTTGTCCGCAATTCGATTTGTCAAATGAACGATTTGATCTGTCAAACGATGTGAGACCCAAACCATGTCCACATAAATTTAACGTGTGTTCGTGTCCTTGATCATGATATGTCGCAATCGGAGGACTAGATAGCGGTAGTGTTTAACGTACTTTTAATATGGCGTCTTGGGCAAGACTTTGAAAGTAGCTTGTATGAGCTGTCACGTCAGTTCGTCGGTCCTGATCTCCTGATTTCCTCTATAAATGTTCCACTTTCGACTAATTTGGCGCTAGTATCGATAAATTTTCTGTTGAAAATTGCCACTTGGTGCTACCAGCACTTAGTGTCTAGTGTAAATTGTGCAACGCCAGCGCCATCAGGTTGTCAAAGAGGGTTTTTAAGTGGGGAAGTCGCCGTTAGTGCCGCTTAAGTCGAATAGGAATCATAACACTAGTTTTTAGAGAAGTTTTGTTCGAACCTCTGTTCTCTGTGGTTATATCAACCGGTGGAAACTAACGATTTAAAATTGGCCCAGCCTATTGGCCCCAAGTATATCTATAAGCAAACCCCATTCTAGTCGAAATTCTAGTACTACACTATGTTTGTTTTGATTCGCTATGAAAGTTTGACAGATAAAATAAATAAAATTTCTTCGGGACCTTCTGGTCTTACACTCAAAGAATAAATCACATATCCAATGGAAAATATTCATTAGTTTCGTTCGAGCCGTTTTTCCATACACAAACTTATTTTTTGCATAAAAAATACGTATGCAGTCTTCATCAGTGTCATTCCCACTAAAGAACTTTTCAAAATCTAACCCCCTTAAGTACTCATCCCTAGGTATAAAAGTCAAGATCACAGGTATAAAAATGAAACTACAATGTGTTGAATCGAAACCTACCTAACTAATTAAAATCAAAGATTTAAGTAAACTAAAGGAGAAAAATCTATCAACTCTCTAATAAGGAAAATCCCAAAGGCTTGGTAGCCATCATAATGAAGTAATGAAATTGGGTTGTTAGCGGAATGCTTAAATAAAACAGCAAAAAAGGTTATATTCCATTCGTACAAAAAGTGTTTCGTTTCCAGAGGCATTGGCCCACGATTCGAAAATGCGAATTTACCCGTCACATAATTTTTGAACAGACCCACATACCGTATACGAAAATGCCACTTATTGCCGATAAGTGGATTAATCTGCTTATTGCATGTGATATGAATGGAAAGATTGCAAACACATTGATGTAGTGTATTATTTTATTTATTTTCAACATTGAATTTTATTTGTTTGTAATTATTGATCATTTTTATTAAAATTCAAATTTCTATACAAGCACTATATTTTTTGTTTAATAATAATCATCTTTTCACGTATATGATCTTCATGAAACAATCGAAACTCATCTTCAATCGGTGTTCTGCGGTTCTGCGCCAATGCAAATAAATAAATAATTGCGTAGAATTTAAGGAAAATTTGGAGTACGAAGCATGGTACAGATTATATAAAAAAAAAACAACTCATAGGTATCCTCCAAGAATGACTGATGTTCCAAGTACTGAGATAAAAATTTCCTTCGATGTGCCAAATAGTCTTAAGGAACAGTAAGCGTAAATGACAATAACTGATAACAATGTGCATTTCCTTCGATTTCAGGACCAGGCGGTTATTTTGCTTTGTTTCGTTACCTAACATTAACTTTTTGTTTTCCCTCATGACAATTATTTCTAAGCGTAGATGTGCTGCAAAAACTGATAACAAACGAAAACCGAAACAGGTTGGTTAGGGGTGCCCTGTTTAATTATAACTCCTAGTTTGTGCAAATCATATAAAAATACTAACCATTTATCAGGGCACACTGGTTTCTGAAATAACAACTCTGGCCGGTCTATGGTATTATTTTGTATTGTTCAATGCTCAGAATAGGAGCCACAATTAAAAACGGTATCTCTATTTCCTTACATTACTTTTGGGACTTAAATCAAAATAGTTGTTGGTAGAATTTTGTTTTGCCTAATTTTATTTTTTCTCAATTTTTTAGTTCAATCAATCATTTCGCTTGTTTTCCCTATTCCATATTCTAGATCCTAGATGCTCATTTCCATTCTACTCGTGTTGCTTTGAATTCAAATTAATATCTATGTTCACCCCATTCTTAATGTCGTCAAACCGTTTTGATAAACGTGTTCAAATGAAATAGATTATAGTTACAATCCAACAGAAGAGGAAAATTCACCAGATGTGTACGGATCAAATGTCGCCGTGGTAGGTCTATTCTGTTCTAGTTTCAGTGGGGAAAAGCAAAGCGCTCACGTAGACCGTTTGTTTGGGAAAAAAAACCGTGCTGTTCATATTGACAAATGATTTAAACATTGGCATACAGGATGATGTCCGTTTTTTTTTACAAGCCAGCATTCTCTTCTATCGTAAAATTTTTGAAAAAGAAACAACACCTTGCAGTTTGATTTCCTATCGGATCGCGTAACCACGCTTTCGAGTAACAGACTTCTTGCGAACAGCAATTCTTCGTTTTCTTCTTCATCATCGGTTCAGCCTTCCGACAAAGGATAGTGTTTTGACACTACGTTAATTTTCAACACACTGACAAAGCCTTCGTTCTCGATCGAGTAAGTAGAATTTAGAACGTACTGATGACTTTTTGTGGTATCCATACATATTATTTAGCAGTAGTGTTTTTTTCTGGTATAATGTTTTCTATTTACTTGTTTGTCTGTTTCCAGTAATGATAATGCCTAAGGTGTAATATAGTTTTGCAATTATATTCTGCTTTTTTATATTTTTAATTTAATTAAAGTGTTTTATTTTTCATTCGTAGTTTTCCTTTAAAGTCTCTTCTCGCCCCCATTTGCGGTTACTGCGTGAATTATCCGTACAATTTTAATGATAATAATCTTGATTATTTTAACCTCTGTGATTTTCAATAATGTTTGCTATACAACACTACCTAGAATCGGGAACGTGTTTCGACGACATCGATGACGGTGTATTGGCTGAAGTGTTGGCCTGTTTTAATTCACGAGCTTTGGCAGCATTTGCCTGCTGTTGCTGACGGGAGCGTCTATCGATACATCCACCTCCACCTCCTCCTCCGCCAGCACCAGCCATAGCTTTAGATGAAGATTTTCCTTTCCCTGGGTGTTGCTGACCCTGGCCACCGCGCGGTAGCACCTGTGGAGCATGCAAACTCTGCAGCTCGTCCGCCAAGCTGCTATCACTTTCAACCTGCTTTAGATTATCACAATTGCCTTCGTCCTTTCCACTGTTGTTGTAATTTGCTGCACCATCCTGATCATCGGCATCGCTACCGGTAGATTTTTTTACATTCTTATTTACGGTACTATTGTTGTTACTCCCAATACCTAGACTTAATGAATTTAACTCATCGGTCACGTCTTCATCTGCGGGTTTATTAAACGACTGGATGTTGGCGATGGTTGATAACATTAAAGCTTGAACGAATTGTGATCTGCAACAATGAGTATATTATTAACAAATACATTTTTTTTCTAATTATCAAAGGAATAATATTTCGCCATCTTTTAAACCGTTCGTTGTAGGTACCAGTGACCATTAACTATTAGTAACAACTTCACTATAAACAATCTATAGACGACAGGAGGTTAAATGTAAACAATGATAGATGATGGATGAGGCTAAAATAAACTATGAAACTATTAGGGAAATTGGGGGTAAGCCCGGCGCCTTAAGTATTATGATTATTTTTAAATAATAGAGAACTTATGTGGTTACGGCACTCCTTACTAAACAGATATCTTGCAAGCAAAAAATAAATTAAATCATATGTTTGTGAGGCTTAGTGAATATTGATGGTATACATGATGATTAAGGAAGCATTCATTAGTTCGCGATATTTCACGAAGATCACCAAGGGAAAAGTTCGCGAGTCATAGTGAGTTTTAGCGAAATTTTCCATCACTGATTACACATTAAGTTGGTACCCATGTAGAATTCAGCATTTAGCAGCGCTGCTCAGTCGCAGATTGGTCAACCTCATATACGCCTGTAGGTTTATGTACAGCATTTGGTTAATAATTAAATGATACTAAAAGGTTGATAACTTTTTGAGCATTATTTGAATCGATTTGTAGTGTTCAAAAAAGTTGTTCTGTGTGACTTGCTCAATCTAAATCTCAGACATGGCCGATATTGAGCAATGTGTGAATTTGTGACAAGCAAATGGTTATTTTCTTTTCGTTTCCAATTATGTTCCCAGACTATCTTTATAATATTGGTTTAATTCTCCAGATCGCAACCAAAAACCTTCAAATTTAGCACAGCTGTTGTGGACCTTAATACAATTCAATAGAGCTGAAGAGTTAATTACTCCAAATAGCGTGTCGGTCTTACCCATCTAAACGAGTGATGGTCTTACCCTAGCAGAGTAAAATTAAACAAAAAACTGATTATCTACATATTATTGATCGACATTATCTCAAATTGCACAAAGATGACGATAAAGAGTTAAGATGAGAATGCAAAAATAACAGGATTTAAAGCTTTCAGTAATTGCAATTGTGCCTTCCGCTAAACTTCCAATCTGAAACTAGACTGCGCCAAAAATACAAAAAGTGTGATAAAAATGCACGTTTTCGTCAAATCGGTTTAGTGTCTTCGGAACACTTATTGCTTGCAGCATAAGAAATAAGTGCAAATAAGACACCAAGACTTTTAGACGGAAACTTTATCACACTTTTATCACGCTTATTTGTCCAGAATATTTTTCCCGGTTTCATATAAACAGCTAAAAATGGTAAAAAAGGAATACAGGCATGATTGATTTCAGCAACTGGAAAAAAAATATTAAATTTTCTTAAATGTCTCAGAATCCAGAAATTTATCTAAGTTACATGTAAATTACTCGAAAGGCACAAGGCCGAATTCTTGTAAATGATGATCAATCAATTAATCTGAGAGAAATGTTGAGAAGTGCTGCTTAATGTAGCACAACAAATTCATTGCAGAATTTTAAACTATTTTGAAGATAGTTTCAAGAGAATTCCTAAAAGAATTCATAAGAATTTTGAAGAATTATTAAAAAGTTTGGAAGAGTTTCTCAGGAAATTTGTAGCATATTTCCCAAGAAGCTCTGAATAGTGTTCCAGGAGATTATGAAGAAATTTCAAAGGGATTCTGAAGGAAAGAGGATATTTTTGGATAATACTTTTCTAAATTCTCATTGGCGTACCAAGAGATTTCCAGGAATATTTCAAACGAATTGTAAAAAAATTAATGGAGAGAGGGATTTCCGACAAAGGACCTGGTCCTGAAGAAATACCTCCATTTTTATTGAAAATATTAATCAGCAACTAGTTTTGTTAAACCATTGTTTTGGCTTTACAATTTATCTCTCAAAACAGGTGATTTTCCAAAAACTTGGAAGAAATCATTTTTAGTTCCAATATTTAATTTAGGGAAACGGTTAGACATTAAAAACTATAGAGTTATTGCCATTATGTCATGCATTCCTATAATGTTTGAAGCATTTGTTAACCAGAAAAGATTTAACCAGGTTAAGCATCGCATTTCAAATAATCAACATTTTTTATAAAGGTCGGTCTACGTCTACTAAACTTTTGGAATTGGTAAATTTTTCTATTGGAGCAATCGATAGAAGTAATACCGTTGAAACCTTATACACTGACTTTGGTAAGGCCTTTGACAGAGTAGACATTCCCTTACTACTTTTTAAATTAAAACTTACTCTAGGAAACCAACAAGCTGGTGTGCGATAAAATTAGGGACTTAGGAGTAATTCTTGACTCGAAGTTGACATTTGTAGATCATGTGAGTACCACCTTTCACACAAAGCAAATAATATGTTGGGATTTATAAAAAAGTTATGTTATTATTATGACCCATATACCATCAAAACACTTTATATAGCTTACTTAAGATCAATTGCGTTCTTTAATTTTGAAAAACCGTTTTTATACACTAAGAGTGTCATTTTCTGAGCACAGCGATATTTTTTTCGAACCCACACACTTTCATCTTGATTTTTAAATCAAGATTGAAAACAAAATAATAACTTCACTGTTTGACACTAAGCTAACAATCTGGTGGTAATAAGGTGATCCAGTGTACCCAAATTGATGAAATTTTGGGTTTAGGTTCCACTTTTAATGCAGATTACGAATATGCATTTACCTCAATACCCTTAAAGAACCCAATTCTCGAATATTGCAGTGTGGTTTGGGCTCCATACCATGAAACTTATAAAAAACGTATAGAATCAGTTCAAAAACAGTTTTTGTTATTTGCTTTTAGGAAACTAGGCTGGACTTCTTTTCCTCTTCCTTCTTATGCGTACCGTTGCATGTTGATAAACATTGAAACACTTAAGAAACGAAGAGAAACTTCCATGATTTCCTTTGTTAATGATCTTATCTCACAACGCGTAAATTCAGAAAAAAAATATTAGCAAGCCTAAATTTTTACATACCATCACACACCTTAAAAACTCGAATTGTATTTCAACTGTCACCTAACACGAAGAACGAATTATGGTAAAAATGAATCAATCAATAGAATGATGAGAATAATACTTATTGTGAGAGTATAGAGTATAGACATTTTGACGATCCGTTTGATCTGGTGCTGGCTCTCGGTTGAGGATATCACCATAAGTTTTCCCCCGACTTCGATGATGTACCGCTTAATGCTAAAACGTAAAGCTAACTTTGGAAGCTGCCAGCTGCGAACGATTGATATCCGTCTAAAAAAGCATGCTTCCACAAAACTTTTGTGACAATGGTTGGGTTTGGGTACCAGCGAATACCTTCCACCAGGCATGGAAAATCATTTGCATTCATTTCGTGCATTCATTTACATTCATTTGCCTCTAACTTTTTTCTTCAACAGCATTCCGCAACATGATTCATAAAGCTTTTGTAGGTTTTGTTATTAGCTACAACTTTTGTTAACAAGTCAAATCCGTATCTCTTATGCATGACAAAGCAGAGCGTACAGAAGCCACTACTGTTTTTCAGTGAATGTATTTGTGCAGTATGTACAGTAAACAAGTTCTGCCCGCTCTAGTTTGTGATGCGTAAGAGATACAGATTTGAGTTATGAGCAAAACTTGTAGTTAAAAACAAAACCTATAAAAGCTCCATACATCATTTTACGGAATGCTGTTGATGAAAAAAGTTAGAGGCAAATGAATGTAAATGAATGCAAATGATTTTCCATGCCTGTCACCGATTTTTTTCTAGCGATCAATGACGATGATCAATGATGAGAATAATTAATTAGACAAAGTAGTTCAAATTGAATTACATTAGATTTTAAATATTAGTTGTAAATAGAATTCTAGTCAGATAATTACTATTTATTTTAGGTAATAAACAAATTTTAAATTCTCGAAATTCTCATGTTATCACTCGGAATTGGAACTTGGAAAAATTGCTTTATTGTTTTTTACACTGTATTCGTCCTCTACTTCTGCTGTCAACATTGGTCCGTCATTGCGACAGACGTTAAACGCCCCCGGTGAAAATGAAGTGGCCACATCACCACCTCAGCATTGGGGGCTTCTCGCCATCACAACCATTATCGATCAATTCAATTGTGAGATTCGAAATGTCTAGACTGGAAAGCTTTCTAAAATTCAACGAGCCAGACCCGCTTGAATCGAATGGGTGCAATTGAATGGAAAACTGTTTTCGGAAGCTAGGTTTATACCTATAAGCCTTGATTAACAATTTATCAAATAATCACATTAATTCTACCTATTTGGCGTAAAAAGCACTTTGAAGCAAATTCGTTATGAACAGTAAGCTACTAAACGGATGGCGAAATATAGTGCTTGGTATCCCCAGCTCATTCACTTACCTGTCAGCCCTATCACGCTCCAATTGTGCTAACTCGGCATCATCTAGGCTCGATACCATAAAGCGTGCCATCAAGAACTGCGATTGCTGTTGGGCGGCCGCAGCCGCCGCAGCTGCTGACACGCCACCAAGGATGTTGCACGTGCCAATGCCGGATGATACCATCGGTAGCGAGGACGACGATGCGATCGGTGCATCACGGGAACCCGTGGCATTGAGTGTGATAATCGAACTGGACGATTGTTGCGACGATGTGCTGGCATTACCAGCCGCATTACTGCCACCGGTTGCATTTGTCGCAGAGGACACTACTGGTTGCTGCTGGCGTCGCGGTAATCGCTCCAACTGCTGACGAGCGGCCTTGAAGAAATGACACGAAAAAGTAAGATTGATTAGCTCCATTTTTGCATGCAAAAGAATACATTCCGATGATGAGAACCTTTTCGAACATTACAATCAACATGATCCGTTAGTTACCACTAATTCCAATTGCTAAATTAACAAGAAACAGAAATTGAACGAATGTAACAATGAAAAAGTAACAAAAGTTATATCACCGATGCAATATCGGTGCTTTTTCGTATGAAAACAAAAGTTGTTTAGATATCTTGACAACGGAAAACTTTGCATCACAACGATTATGGTCACTTTATGTGTAGGTATTTATATCAATAACAATGTTGTAGCTACCTATATCAAGTAGCTTCAAGTTTGGTGCCAGATATATATGGTATTTGAACTAATTTTATCATTTTATTACCAAACCAGCTGAAAACTTTGGTTTAAGCATAATTAATCAAAACTTTCATTATTACATTAAAAAGTTTTTCTCTTTAATGCTACTTTCAGAATACTACAGCTGATATTAATTAATATAAGCTTGATATCAGTGGAAGATGTCGATTAGCTTTCTAATCCTGTACCATTTTAGCACTCGCATAATAACACTCTATGTCCAGACCAACTCGACAAATTTCTGGACAGGACCCGGAATTGAACCCTCCGGTTCCAGCATGATTTTGCTGTTGTGCCTTAGGTAGAGTAAACCCCCTGTCATGCAATATACAAAAACAAAAATGGAATAGGTATGTATTTATTTAACAACTGTGGAAGTGCTCAAAGAACACTTATGTAGTTGAGAGTAGGCGTAATGTTTCATTTGAGATGCAATAGCCATGGAAAAGAAGCATAATTCAACAAATCAACACCGAAAATGCAAAAGGTCCAATGTAATGTGAGGGGGTTCATCGACTTTCTCTTTTGATAGCCACAGCTTTATAAACAGATTTTGAAAGGAGGTTCTCATCTAGTATCCAAAATGACACACGAATCAAGGAATGTGTTTGCAGCTGAATTATAAACGAAAGAGAAAATCGATCAAAGTTACTTACACCCCTTTCCTTCTAACCCCCTCATGTGACATTGATCGATTCTCTTCGTCGATTTTCTCTTTGAATGTTCACGGTTATGTAAAGAGTAATTTCCGGCTATTTTCGACACAGTTCGATGAAACAAGCTATTCACCAATATTTTCGTTTTGGTTCGAAACGTATTTTCCATACATTTTTTTTTGTACGCCTATCGAGCAGAAAACATAAAATAAATCTATGATTAAAAAATAAAAAAAAATAAAAATCAGCGTTAACAAGTCAATTAAGGTGCACCGTGGTAAGTTGAAATGAGGGGTAAGTTGAAACGGAAGCCGTAACTATTTACGGAAGTAAGTTATAACTGTGATTATTTTTAAAAGTATAATATAAACTTAAACGCATCATATGACTGTCAAACCAGGTAGTTACAAACAGCTTAGCGCTCTCCTCAGCTTTGTTAAGTTTAATTTTATATAAAAATTTACAGCACACATTTTTCACGCATTGCTTCAATCTTCTCAAAAAAATTTTTAATTTTCTGTATTTTACCCATTTTCATGCACTAGGAAAGCATATGGAGGCTAGTTGTAATGATGATATAGAAAAACCCGCATCCAAATGAAGTTACAAGAAATATTCTCAACATTTCAAGCAAGTGGCCCCACATTTTTACACCCTATGGGGGAAGGACATCGAAATGAGTACAAGGGGGCAAGTTGAAATGCTGGGTATCCCATTTGAAATCGCTTCAATATGTTGAAGGATAGCCAAGAAACAGTAATGGTTGCCTTTAGAAAAAAACTAGTAGTAAATAGTATGGAAAATCAATTTTTCACCATCAAAAACTTCAACAAGAGACTCTGTTCGATGTATTTCAGTACTTTCCTATTGTTGCAATTTAAGATAATACAAAAATGTATTGTAAATCCATAAATAGTATGTGTTAAACCAATTTAGGTATTCCTATGAACATTTAAGCAATTCAATTTATTTACAATTAATTGTCAACTGGTGAACTGCCAACAATAGAATGCATGATAATTTCATTATCATTTCACGGTTATATTTCCGCCTGAACTGAACTACCCACCGCGTTTATCGGGGGATACTTATATTCCCATCAGGGGTTGATAAAGTCCACGAACGGTTATTTTATACACGCAGAGAAATGATTTTCAATTTCAAATGGATATATTTTTGGCTCAGGGCCTAATATATTTTTGGTATTGATTCAAATATATTATTCGGTTAATTAAAAGAAAAATATTTTTGAATCAACAAACCGGTTGTAGAGTCAATAATCTGTTTGTGGATTCTAAAAACCATTTTGTTGAAATAGTGATAGGGTAGAGAACTACTTCGGCCTAATCGCCCATTTTGGGCCTATCGAGCAGAAAACTTCAAATAAATCCATGATTTCAGAGTTAACAAGTCAATTATGTCAGTGTCGGCTGTCGACAAAAGCAGGCCACTCTCGATGTGTGCCACGCGTAACTGCCATACAATGAAACCACTGGAAGCGGCTCCAGTTCTGATGGAGGAGGCTTTTTGGATAGCGGAAGATAAAGTGTTTATTGTGTTGTACCTTTTGACTATAGTTTTAAGATGTATTGTATAGTGACCAAGAATCCTCGGCTCTGTAAAGTTAATTCGGTTGAGCCTTATGAAATAAATTAATGAACAAAAAAAGTCACTTATGCGTTTGGTACGATACTTTAGTTAATAAGCTTCCGAACGAAGTCAATGAGAACGCGTGATATGAATGTTTGCACCCATTATTCCCAAAAACAAAAGAAGCGCTCCGACCGAATCAATTTTTATCTTCATCCGATAGGCCGAAGTGAATTCATTGGCGTCTCAATGGCGTTTCAATGTGTTAGGCCGAGTTTAGAATCCGTAGGCCGAGTTTGGCGTTAAGAAGCAGTGTTAGACTTTTGACAATATCTCAACGATTGGTTTGTCTTTATCAAATCGAAATCTTTTGGTACGTACGAAAAGGTAAATAAATTTGGAAGCCATCAGTAATAATAACATTCCGTTTGGTGCTAAATTGCGCTAGATTAAGAAAGACTAAGTGCGGGTTGTGCTTAATAGGCCGGAAATGGGGTAGTTAACCCTACAATATATTTGAATCAATAACAAAATACATTAGGCCCTGAAACAAAAATCAATTTTTCTGCGTGTACATGTATTTACATGTTTGAGAAAATAGATGAGAATTTTTTTTTATATCTTTATTAAGGAGACTTTCAGCCCTGGGCTGGTTCGTCTCCAGATGAGAATTTTCATCGTAAACTGATATAATATGTGTGTTTCAGCTTACCCACCTGTATGGGCAAAATGAAACAACACACACCATATTTGTATTCTCTTAAAAACGTAACTAAGTTTAATATTTTTTCATGATAGAAGACGCTTTTATGAAACTTTCGCTGCAAAAACATCCGGTTTACGATTTTTCCAGAGAGCCTCAAAGTTCAACTTCGAATAAACCGTTTCAACTGGCCCCGGTGTACCTTATGCGTTTGGTACGACACATTAGTTCTAAAGCTAACAAACGAAGTCAATAACAAGCCGGCACCGGTGGTGTAGTGGTAAGCGTGACTGCTTTCTCACCCCAATGGGTCTGGGTTCAATCCCTGCCGAGGTCGGTGGGATTTTTCTGAGCCATAAAAATCTCTGGTCACGTCTTCCTTCGGAAGGGAAGTAAAGCCGTTGGTCCTGGCCCATGTGTTGAATGGGTGCGATATCCTAATCAGGTGTGGAAGCTGCCTTCCTTGCACATTCGATTGCCGTCAATGGATGGCAATCGATGTTCGTCGGTGATTGGCACTAGATTGCGGAACAGAGACCGACGTTAAATAAAGGAATGAATGAAACGAATGAAGTCAATAACAACGTGTGATATGAATGTTTGCACCCATTATGCTCGAAAACAAAAGAAGCGCTCCGACAAAATCAATTTTTATCTTCATCCGAAAGTCCAAAATTAATTCAATAGCGTTTCAATGAATTAGGCCGAGTTTAGAATCTGTAGGCCGAGTTTGGGGTCAAGAAGCAGTGTAAGTTTTTTAGCAATATCTCAATAATTTGTTACTCTTTATCAAATCTTACGGTACGTACGGAAAGGTAAATAAATTTGGAAGGCAATAAAAACATTCCATTTTATGAAAATAAAAAATAAAAACCGGTCGAAAATAGAGACAAGGACGTATATCCAAGCCGCATATTAATGTATTGCAGAAAACATAAATGATTACTAATGTGTGCGTTCGTTTCAGAACAATAATACGCGCGCAACCTGACAGATGCGCAAGGGGTCTATCCTCACAGGTTTACAACATGTAAAAGATAGTTCTCGAGATCTTGGTTAGATAGAAGGTTGCTGTTATCGTCAATGATGTTTAGGTTACAAAGCCTAGCATTATGTTGAATTGCCAAGTTCAAAATTTTCCCACTAGGCGGCTCTAGAGCTCATATGAACTTTGTGTACATGCAATATCTTTGGATCCAGGCTGTATCCGAAATTGCTGTTTTCTGCCATTTTTTTCAATAGACTGAGACCTTTTGAATTGTGGACAGTTCAGTTTGGAGTTTTATCACTGGACGTCTCTAGTGCTCTGATAATCTTTATGTACATGCAATATGCCTTGATCCAGGCTAAATCAAAGGTTGTTTTTTTTTCTGAAAATTTGCTCAGGAGTATAATACCTTTAACATTCTGGACAGTTAACTTCAGAATATTCTCACTAGGTGGCTCTAGTGTTCTGATAAACTTCGCGTACATGCAATATCTCTGAACTCAGGCTATATCCAAGGTTGCTGTTTTCTGCAATTTTGCCTAGGAGGATAAGACATTTTGAATCGTGGTCAGTAAAGTTCAAAATTCTCTCCTTACGTTTACCGCGGTGCTTTTTTATGGAAATAAATCGATAAACGAAGAATTTTACAGATTTGTTGGGAAACTAAATTAATTTTACCAATATTCGGTAAAGTATTACCGAAGTGTCATTCTGTAAACGAGGCAAACGCCTATTCGGTAAAAAATATCAAAACGAACTGTAAAATACAAAATCGTTTACCGATCTTCTGAAAATTATTTCAGACTGTCAAACTGAAACTGTTTATATTTAAATTACCGTGGACCCCCGGTAATCTGACCGTTTTTAATCTGAACACTTTTTAACCACGCTAATCTGAACGCCGTGCAAACTAAAAATTGCTCATTTAGCACATGGAATGGAGTAAAGTGAAATGGAACGATCCGAAACGGAACAGCAAATAAGGTTACCAGAAACTCGGGTTTTATGTTCATATGGTTACTTCTTCTTCTTCTTATTCTTCGCATTTCAAGCTTATTGCATATCGCATATTAGCATATTGCGTGCTCTCAACTTGTGTGGCAAGTCCAATCATACTTCTATGCCCAGGGAAGTCGAGAAATTTTCCAACCCGAAAAATTCCTAGACCGGACCGGGAATTGAACCCAGCCACCTCCAGCATGGGCTTGCTTTGTAGCTGCGCCTTTACCGACTGAGCTAAGGGAGGCCTCAAGGGTTACTAAAAGTTCAAATTAAAAATGAACCCCGTTAATATGCACGAAGTGTCATTCAGATTAAACGAAGGTCCACGGTATAATCATGCAGATAAAACAAGAGCAGAATGAACCGTCATATTCAGTAAGAAAATGTTTATTATGCATGAACAAGTCTATTAAATACCTTTTATTCCTGCGATTGTTTTTCAGACTGTACCAATAAAATTCTTCTTTTCTGCTGGAAACAGATTGAAGGCTACATGTTTCTGGACCGCACCACCACAATAATAGCCATTTTACTGTTATGGGGAAGGTTACCGGAAAAGATATAAAGAATCTAAAACAAATATTTTTGTTTATTTTTTTCTAAAGAAAATTTAAAGGTATGCCCAATCTACAAAAAGGGCGCGAATACAACGTGCACACACATCATTTGTTCATCGATTTCAAATCCGCATACGACACAATCGATCGAGATCAGCTATGGCAGATTATGCACGAGTACGGATTTCCGGATAAACTGATGCGATTGGTCAAGGCGACGATGGATCGAGTGTTGTGCGTTGTTCGAGTATCGGGGACACTCTCGAGTCCCTTTGAATCTCGAAGGGGGTTACGGCAAGGTGATGGACTTTCGTGTGTGCTATTCACCATCGCGTTAGAAAGTGTTATCAGAAGAGCTGTGATAGACACGAGTGGCACGATCTTCAGGAAGTCCATCCAGCTTCTTGGCTTCGCCGATGACATCGACATCATGGCACGGAACTTGGAGACGATGGCGGAAACGTACATCAGACTGAAAGCTGAAGCTAGGCGGATTGGACTTGCCATAAGCGCATCAAAGACAAAATACATGAGAGGAAGAGGTTCTAGGGAAAACAATGTTAACCTCCCACCCCGAGTTCAGATTTACGGTGACGAAATCGAAGTGGTCGATGAGTTCGTGTATTTGGGCTCGCTGGTGACCGCCGAAAATGATACCAGCAGAGAAATTCAAAGACGCATTATGGCAGGGAATCGGGCCTACTTTGGACGATCGATCGAATAAAATTCGCCGCCTTCTACGGCCACGAGCATACGTGGAGGAGCAACGCGCCCTTGGTGTTTTCGAATGGAAGATGTTGCGTACCATCTACGGTGGAGTGCAGATGGATGACGGAACGTGGAAGAGGCGAATGAACCACGAATTGCACCAGCTGCTGGGAGAACCATCCATCGTCCACATTGTAAAAATTGGGCGACTACGGTGGGCTGGGCACGTCGTAAGAATGCCACACGACGAGGTCGTAGCCTGATTGGTAAGGTATGGTAAACATTATCCCAGCTGCAAAAATATCCATATTGCAGGGTATTTTCCAGTTTTTCTGTAACCAACGGCCGCCATTTTGAAATCCAACATTTCAACAAGTTTCGAACATTGAATAAGTTCCTAGAATTCGAGATACATTACACTGTCATTATTATCATATCAGTGGATTACCGTTTTTGTTGCTGATCATGACGTGTAACACAAATGATACCCGTTAACGTTGCAATTGTTTCACATTTATGATAAGCACGTGATTTCTCCGGCGTAGTTAATTGTAGTCTAAGAACTATTTTAACGACATATTTAATTACATCGACTGAAGGTACACATTGTCGGAAACACATGGTGGCCACCATTGGTGGGTCATATGTACCGAACAAATTTGATTGGTTGATTTTTTTTATTTTATTAGAGAGACTTTTTTTTTCCTCTGTTCGGGACCTAACACTACTGCGACCAGTAAATTGATCTATTGTAGTATATCCCGTGTCCTTAGTTTAGTGCATGTCGTATTACTCCATCACTATTGAGAAATAATGAAGTATTCGATTTTTTTACAGTTGCCACTCTTGCATTTATCGCAAGGATCCGACTCTAATTGAAAGGTCCCGCTATTTATACCCTTCGGAGTGTTGAAACACCCTCCAAAGGCGCGCCCCTTTGTCAGTCAAAATTGGATTCCTTAGCAAGAAAATTAAGGTATGACACCGTTAATGATCATGCATCAGAACCCTAGTCTTATTCACTTCAAACTAGGGAACAACGAATAGAAGATTAGGAATCACATAGATGAAGACAACTAACTCATTTTTGCCTTGTTTCAAGATCATTATCGGTAGACAAAGCCGAGTCTTGTCACTATCAACAAGGCATAAAAAGTAACAAGGACTAAGATGTGTTCCTTGGATTACTGAAAAATCCTGTTCCCCTAGTTTGAAGAAGTCAGGACTAGGAATCGGTGGTAGATCTTACATTCCGTAACGTACCACGAAAAGGTGATCTACCCACGTTACGGGGCTAGACTTTCGTAAATTGATCGGTATAATTTATTTTTCGAAAAAAATACGTTTGAATTTTTCTATAAATATTGGAAAATATATCGCAAATCTAGGAAATCCGTTTTTTTACTCTAATTCTAAAGAAAGTTTAAGTGTAAAAACATTTTTTCTAATCCTGATGAATGTGGTCAGTTATACATTTTTTCTATCATGGCAAAAAGTTGGACTCAAAAAAACGGAAAGAAATCGACCGTTCGGTTTTGTCTAGTGCCCAATTTTTTTTTATGATGAAATAGAAAACAAGTTTTTACGTGTATTTTTTCAAGAATGTAAGGAAAATACGTTTTCTTAGATTTTTCACGTAATTCAAAAGTGAAGAAATCGATGATGTTGGTCTCTCGTTAGTTCACAGTAGGTACGTTTTGAAAAATCATGCTGGAAATCATCTGTTCTTTTGTACCCCGATGTCATGAAGAATATTTACTTAATCGAAAGTTGCAATTACCGTAACGTAAACAAAGAGGATGCCAAACAAAAAACATAAAAATACACTTTCAAAGGCGATGATCCATAGTGTATCTGCGACTGCTGCAGCTGAGAACATTTAATAACAAAGAAACCCGTCGTCTGAGTATCGGTATATGTGATCGTTGCAGATGAAAGTAGATACAGAGAATGCACCACGACAATATCTCCGCCGACTTGTGGTTTAAATACGGCTCGTGCTGTTAGAACTGATCATACACGGAGAACGATAGTCGATGGACACATCCTTCTTTTTTTCTTCAAAATCACACAACAAATGATCACGATCTTCGTTTACTTGCTGTAGGGCGCGTATCTCATCGTCACTTCTTCTACTTCTCGAAAGTGCAATCGCAGCAATAGATGACGTCGGCAGCGGCGGTGGTGGTGGGACCGATGACTCGAAACGGCTTCTTCTGATCCTTATGCCGTGGTTCATAGGACTATTCTGAACCCAAAACAAACGGAAAAATGCGTCAAATTGAATTGTACTTTGCAATATCTTATGGTGTTACAGCGAGGGACTGAAAATTCTGATGTAGCTATAATACTGTCATACGCAAAACCTAGACTGCGCGCGTCGAAATATTTTGTCAAATCAATATTATGAATTTTGAATGGCCGAGAGCAAAACTTGTTTACACCGTGTATTCCGCTCTGCTGAGTAGGTACTGAAATGCTCATTTGGTCTCATTTGGCAGATGATTTGAATTTGCGCCACGAAGATCTTTCCTGCTTTTGTGCTGGTGAGGACCTACCTATGAACAAACCGAACACTTGCAGCTTTCCGACCGACGACACACGAAATACGCGATTGGGTAATTTTAGTTTGCGGATTTTAAAATAAATTTTGTTTTCCTTTTTCCCCTTTATTTTCATGAGAGACAAAAAACCATTACGTCGGACGCTTTTCTAATTTAGTGCCCACGCCAAAGCATTTGATTACTGCGATAGGTATTTATTGACATTTTCTTCTACTGATTCGGAGACAAAGCATAGGATTAGCGCTTCAAACAACAATATTGTATTTATGCGTACTGCTAGTTATGTTTAAAGGGTAGCATAGCATAATCACAATTTATTTGACTAAAGAATAAGATAATCTGGATCAAAGTTGAAAATAAACTCATCTCGGGAAATGGTTGAAGGGACTGTTATTTAAGGTGGGTACTTACGGTTACTTGCTGTCGTTCCAACTGAATTTGCATCTGAAGCTGCTGAAGCTGCGACGGCTGCGGGGCACCGCCCCGACGGACGCTGGACAACTGCTGTAGGAGCTCTGCAATGGGGTCCACTGATTCACGTCCTGAGGGGGACAATGTGGAGAGACCTCCTCCTGATGAGCTGAAGTGCATATTAGATCGTCTCGATCGAGGTCCTCCCAGTGCACGACCAGAATGTGGCATCCTTCGTACTCCTCCATGCCGGATAGCGGAAGGCTCATCGTATAGGGGTGGTTAAGGAAAGTTTGGTTTGATAATGTAACACTTAATCTAAACATTCATATCATGGATACATAGGTACATAGAACTACCGTCACTCGGAGATTCCCATGATAAGCTTTTGGGGTGCTGTTTTAGATAATTTGACAAAAAAAGGCACTGAAAACATTTCATTTATTTGCTGAGATTCAGCTGTATTATCCGAGACACATGTGTACAAATAAAAGTATTCGAAAATCATTCCCCTCTTTCTTTCCCTTGGTTGCTCTAGAGCACCATATATTTCGTATCATTCAGCAAGCTCATCGAATAATCACAAAATTTCACGAAATTTCCACCGCAAACATTTTATTTAGTATTGTTACTATGTAAAAGTTCAAATCAACATGTATGGAAATATTTATTTACCCTTCATTGAAATACTATGATGACGCTAAACACCCTGGGAAAACGAGGGTATGCGTAAATTTCACACTTCACGAGTTCTAAGCTGGGGCTGCCTGATAACCTAGTCCAGCGGTTCTCAAACTTTCGTAAGCTCGTGAATCGCCAATATTGAAGACATTCCAAGACCAAAATGACTTTAAAAACGCAAAAAAGCCTTCAAACTGCGTAATTGCTTGAAACTTGTCAAAATAGCCTTAAAACGTCGACAAATACCTACCAACTTCTTCTTCTTCTTCGCATTTCAAGCTTATTGCTTATGGCATATTAGCTTATTGCGTGCTCTCAACTTAGTGTTCTAGATGCACTTCCACAGTTATTAATTGAGAGCTTTCGATGCCTGCTACCATTTTTGCATTAGTATAATTGTGTGGCAAGTACAATCATACTCTATGCCCAGGGAGTCGAGAAATTTTCCAACCCAAAAATTCCTAGACCGGACCGTAAATCGAACCCAGTCACCTCCAGCATGGTCTTGCTTTGTAGCTGCGCCTTTACCGACTGAGCTAAGGGAGGCCCCAAAAATACCTACCAACAAAAGAGCACAAAACGAAACGAAAATATTTGCGATAAAACGCTTAAGCAATCTCAAAACTGCCTTAAAAATGCCTAAAACGGCTTAACACCAAAAATAGTAGCATAAAGTCATTTGGCGTAAGATATTTTTTTTTTTCGAATTGCAAATTGGCATAAAACATTCTGAATAAAAGATGTAGGTCATAATGGTCATTCGACATAACAGCATAACATTTGTGAAAAGCTTGAACTAAATAAATGATTATTAGGTATAAATAGAGGTGACCCTGGCGTAGTGTAGTTAACATCCATACCTCTCACGCCAAAGTCACGAGTTCAAATCTCACCCCCGGACAAGTCACGAATGACCCAAGTGTGTTAAAGTGACTATAATAAAAAAAAAAATAAAAATATTAGGTATAACTGTTCTATATATTAGGTATAACATGATAAAAACAGCAGAAATCTATTAAAAATCTACGATGGAAGTATTTCTATTTTGTTTTATAAAGAAATAACTATTCTACAAAGGAAAAATACCTAATCAATGATTATTTTTCCCAGTGTAAAAAATAAAGAGCGCATTAAAACTTTTATGAACTGCTCATGTGTAAATAAAGGAAGAAAGTTCAATGGGCTCTTATAATTGTTACACAACGCAAGTAAAATTAGCCCACCCCAGAGGGACGTACTTACTACTGTCTCCACCTTCATTATGTCATACGACCCACTATTTAATTTTGACGTTATTCGGGTGTTATGCAAAATGGCTATTTACACAAACATCTTATGACAATCGACATTATGTCAAATGGGGGTTCTTCCCGGGATTTGGGTGAATCGTGGAAATCTCAAATCCCGGGGAAAAAAAATAATTTCTCCGGAATCCCGTTCATTCTGGGATTGCATTGTTGAAAAATTTAATTCACAAATTTCTCTATTTTCTCTTCTTTGTTGTGTAAATCTTTCTACGATTATATCATAAATATGTTACGGGCTTCTGTTCGACTTTAGGATATACTGGGACACCACTGAAATAGCTTCAAACGGCTAGAACGTTGCAGTAAAATATACGATTCCACTAGTCTTAGGTCAATCGCGAAGATAAATTTGAATGTTTGAAACGATCTTCTGCTCACGTGCTCCGGATAGTTATGGCGACATTTCATTGTTGATAGCAGAAGGTGTATTACGTTTCCTGTGATTTGATTGCGGATTTCAGTATTCAGCAAGGCAAAACATGAAATATTTGCATAACAGATTCTTTATTTTTTTAGCCATCGGAAATTAAATCTTGCACTCTTTCTGCTAGTAAACTGATCAATAGCGAAAAGTATGCAATGTTTTAAATGAATTGTCACTGCCAGTTGAACTCTAACTCACAACTACAGATAGTACAAAACAAAACATATTGCAATAAAAGAAAGAACAATATTTCTTACCGTAAAACTGGGTCGAGCCAAACAGCGGAATGTACTTGATCATTAATATTTCTTATCACTTTTCTTTAAGTACCTACTATAATACTGCTGCCTTGTATCGAAAATGCGTTATACATTGGAACCGATTGTCAAGTAACATCTCTTTACAACGTCTACAAAAAATTCCCTACTTTGTTCAGCAAATGTCGCGAAAAATACCAAAACTATGTTGTCCTATCCATAAGAGCCCATTGAGAAAAAAATCTTTAACCGCGTTTTTCTCAGCTTGCTGTTTCAACAAATGTGACAACTATGCTGAAAAATGCAGAATAGGTTGATTCGAGTCTGACATACATATATGATATCTGACCAAAAATTATCAGAAAGTCCCGTAATCAAGTACACTTGACCCCGTTTTACAGAAGTATTTTTTTATTGCTGAATGGCCTTATTTTTTTAAAAATCATTTTTATAACTTTTTTTTACTGGCGACATATTAGCAGCATAACTCTGTCATGGACGCATTTCATTATCCTTAACGAATGAAATCTGTGATTAGAACAAGTATTTGTAAGAAATAAAAACAATGTATACATTTAATCAAATTATCCGATATTTCCGAGAAATTTTAAATCTGAATCCCGAATTCCGGGATTGTAAAAACCGCCGGGAAATGAACCCATTACTTATGCCAAATAACTTTATACCTGGGCTTATCCCCCTAACAAAAAAATAATAAAAATCCTCATAATAATCTGGAAAATGTCAAATCGTTCATCCAAAAAACGACAAAATGGCCCTAACAAAACGCAAAAAAAAAACTCTCTAAGGGCTAAAATGGCCTGGAAATGCCACCAAGCCATTGCTTGACAAACGTCAAAAATGCCTAGGATTTCCAAAACTTTAGAATCTCCAAAATACCCCTGAAATTAAATGATAAACCAGGTCCAAAAGGACAATTATAAAATAATCGTATGATCGCTAAAAGAGCAAATCGTGAAAATGACACTGGAAATGCTTTTGAAAAGCCCAAACTGCTCCAAATAGATAGGACAAAGTAAATATTATATTGCAAGCGAATTTATCGACTTCGCTGGGCATAGAACATCATAGAATACTGTGTGCTAAAAGACAGTAGGTTCAGGGCAGCCGCAAAGTTCCAGTAATAGGCAAATAAGAAGAAAGTATAATATCTAAAAAAAATCGTTTTACCATGTTTGAATCAAGGTCTATCGCATTGAAGCCGTTTTTTTTATAAATAAGCAACTACTTTTCAAAAAGACGTAACTGATTTTGACAACAATGACTGACAAAAAGTAACACTCACAGTACTGAGTAAATAACCCCGGATTTTCAAACTGAATAAGCCGGTTTTACAAAAATCTTATACTCACTCACTGATAATGTCATAGCGGCCGTGGCCTTGTAAAAATTAAGTTTTCAAAGTTGGAGAACAAAGGTCCTTAAAAACAAATAATAATCAAAAACTCAAAAATCTTTAAACAAATAATAATCAAAAGTAAAAGGTGAGGTTCGCAACGCCATTGAATAACCTATATCCTTTTGGTTTGTTTTTTCCGTCGATCTTGTTTTCCGTGCTGAGCACCAATGCTACCGACGTGCCACAGGAAGGCAGCTCCCACACCTGGACCCTACCACCTATCGACCCATCAACTCATGAACCGGGGACCAACGGCTTTACTTCCCATTCGAAGGAAGGCGTGATCAGAGATGTGAGGTTCGCAACGCAATTGAATAACCTATACAGAATCCTAATGTCAGATAATGTTGGATATACAGTGTATCTCAAAATTGATCGTACACCCTAGATGACAATTTATTGAAACATGGTGAATAGATATATTTTAGTGGTTGTGGTTGAACAGATGTTTATTGATTTATTGCTATAGTTTTGGTCTTTATTGGAAGAGCCTGTATTAAGTTAGATTTATTTTAGTAAAACGCTCGATTTTCAACTTTTTACCTTGTGGACGAATTTTAGTAAAATTAGTGGCATATGAATTTGGAATTACTACGACTAAAAATGAGCAAAATTTCAAGAAGGTATGATCATTTTATTTCCAGAAAATAAGGTTTTTCAAAGGCGTTTTCTTTAAATTGCTCAAACTTTTTGTAAATTCGACCAAATATGCCTAATACTGAGACAATAATTGATAAATGTATGCTGAGTCAGCTGCCAAAAATTCAGAGACATATCTTTTTAACTTGTGCTGTGCGATCAATTTTGAGATACACTGTAAACCTAATAAAAGTATTTTGAAAAGGATATCAGAAACGAGATGAGATCCCGCGATCCACCACTCCGATGTTCTAAGCTCAAATGTCCGGCAAAGTCATCTGTCACCAGGTTTGGATCACCGCCGGGTAGTGCTGCACATACTGGACAAACGACCTCCAGACCGGTGTCGGTGTGATCGGAGCTGACATGCTCCAGTAGAGCCGAATCACTGAGTCCCATTCGTTTGCAATACGGGCAGGTAAATGACTGTGGCTGATCTGGTGTGAGAACTTCTCCGCCATAGTATAATTCGAAGTCGGACCTCGTTAGTATACACTGCATTGGGTGGTCTGCAGAGTGTCGTGTGCTGGTTGCTCCTTCTTCATAACAGTTGGCGCACAGATCATAGTCGTAGCAGATCAAACATTTGTAACGACGTCCTCGGAAGTTGCTTTTAAGACACGAATCGCAGCTCACACCTAAAAAAAGACAGAAAGAAATATATATACATAAATGTAGTACCGATCATGTCCTGAAACCATGTACCGTAAAATGCCATAATGCTGCGCACAGGCCTAATTCTGCACAATTTCCAAATAATTATAAATTGTTTATAATTTGAATTGAATTGAACATGTGGGTAAGATGTATTAACTAATAACCACTTGTGTATGGGATATATAAATCTGAATTAAATCGCAGTAGACTGCAAAATTTAGACGCTGCGCAGAATTATGGCACTTTACGGTATCTGTAGAGCAAACTGCCTATAATCGCATATCGGTCCCATATGAAAAAAGTAGGCATTGAGAAAATGGCATTCAAAGTAACGAAGTACAATTCTCATGTAAATATTTGAAAAACCATATTATATTTATTGATATTTTTATTTTTTTATTTATTTTTTGTTATGTTGTTTTTTTTTTTAAACTTCGGTTGAATTCATATTTTGATATTATTTTAATATTTCTAAAAAATAATTTAAACCAAAATTTGATATTTTATTAAATCAAATCACACACACATTTATCACTGAAATCTTTTTTTTTTACGAGTCAATCAGAATGCTTGCTGTTTTCTTTATGAACATCACAAAGACAATTATGATTTTTATATTTTTTATTATATTTTATATTTTACAACATTTATTGATATTAATCTACCTGCAGATTGAATTTATAAATCGATATTACTGATAGATATCGATAGAACTGATTGAAATTAGGTTTGTTTTTATTTTGAATAGATGAAAAGTTATTGATAACATTTTTTGATTTTGAATCTTGATATCAACCAATAGATTTCAAAACATTCAGATTACTAAATTTGCTATCATGATATCAAAATAAAATTATAACATATTGATTACTTATTTTGCTTATTATTAACGAAATTACTAATATCAAAACGGATACATGGATTTAAGAAAACACGGATTTGTTATCTTTTTAATATCCGTCATATATCATTTGGATCTCAATTTTGTTATGATTACTGTTAACTCGACCACACGGTAGGCAAAATATGTTGTCACGAACGCTTATATCAAAATATCAAATATTTCATTTTGTTCTCATTCTCTGCTCGGGTGGCGAACTAACAAGAATGGCTTGTGGCTAATGCCTATATGAACATTGATTACTTTCAGAGTAAAATATTTGGCATTGCTCCCGCAACTTCTAAAAGCGGATATCACTAAAATTTATTATTTATTTTTGTAAGGACAATCAGTATCTTCTGCAAACGAGAATAAGGGTAAACAACCTTATTTTATTTATAAGGTGAAAATAGCCCTAAATGTGTGGCCGTGATCATACAAAGCCAAAATCAATTGATGCAGTCACAGATAAATAAATAAATCAATAAACCTTGGAAATCAATTAGATGTATTTATAGCGTTTAATCTTGCAATTATTAAAACAAATCTTGATAGAGCTGGAATTAGGGCGTAACAGCTTTTGTAAACAATGACTTCTCTAGATGATTTCTCGAAACTCAAGGCACGCCCACGCAAACCAACATAGCCAACGGGAAGGGGAAGTCTTCCCCTACCCGATGGCGACGTTGATTTGAGTGAGCGAGTCTTGGCTTTCTAGAAATCATCGAGAGAAGTCATTGTTTACAAAAGCTGTTTCGCCCTAATTCCAGCTCTATCTAGAAATATTTGTAACTTCTGTCACGATTTATAAAAGGATTGAGCATACACTAATAGTCATAAGGGCATAGATGGTTTAATTCGCCAAACGATCTGGGTGTTTTTTTTTAATTATTATAGTCACTTTAAATGTAAGCGTGATTACCTCTCACCCCAGCAGGCCTGGGTTCAATCCCAGTCGGCGCCGCCGGGATGTTCTGAGGCATAACATCTCTGATCACGCCTTCCTTCGGATGGGAAGTAAAGCCGTTGGTCCCCGGTTCATGAGTTGATGGGTCGATAGGTGGTAGGGTCCAGGTGTGGGAGCTGCCTTCCTGTGGCACGTCGGTAGCATTGGTGCTCAGCACGGAAACCAAGATCGACGGAAAAAACACACCAAAGAAAAAAAAAAAAAATAGTCACTTTAACGCTCATGTGACATTCGTGACTTGTGCGGGGGTGAGATTTGAACTCGTGGCTTTGGCGTGAGAGGTATGAATGCTAACCTCTACGCCGGGGTCGCCCGATCTGGGTGTTACTGATTACGTAAAATAAAAAATCATTGTATTTTCCAGGGCCATTCACCTAAAATTCTAGATATGTTCAGCAATTTAATATAATTTATCGGTCATTTGAGTTTTTACCAACTTTTTCAGCAATTCAAAAACCCAGTAAAAATACTGACTCCTGTAAAATAATATAATTGTGTAGTATCACTTTAATTACATAACTCGATCTGCCAATGACGAAACTTTAACATTATGTGATACTTATGATGTTCCGGATGGTTTCGGGGAAGTGGCCCAAACCTTCATACCAAAACTTGCCATAGCTACCGGTTAATCCGAAACAGGGTGATAGAAGACTAAAAAATATGTTTTTATTATTATTATTCACCACGGGTCTAGTAGATTTGGCATAATTGCTTTGATTCTATATATTTTTGAAACCAAGAGTTAATGATTATTACTTCTTTAAATTGCTTTCCGTTCTTTCACAAAATCCATACTATTCTTCCATAGCGCTTGGAAAAACTGTTTGTTTGAAAAAAAAGAAGAAGAAAAAAATGCTACAACAATATTAGCCAAATCTCATACCAAATGTCCGAGAGGTCTCCATGGAGCCGAGAATCATTACATAATTTAATAATTACATTAAAGTATTAAGGTTCTACAAAGGGTATTTTTTTTTTTTTTTTTTGGTATCAAGCTGGAGCTGCGTGACAGCTTAATTTTCAAGACTTGACTCATTTGAATAAATTTTGCTTCTATCTTTGACAATACAGCAGAAGGACTAGCCTATGTTGGCCGCTTGAACACTGCATTCCGTATGTATTGTTTCAAGATAGTTATAGAAAAAATGCTGTGACGTGTGCGCTTAGATACATCCGCCGATTGAATAAGTAAATCCGTTTCGAACGAAATATCTAAATTATGTATGTTACGAAAACCGCGCGAATTCCGAAAGCCGTGCGAGACAACCGAAGCGAGGAAAAAGGCTTATTATCATTTAAAGAGTGCCACCAAAATAAATGTGATAGCCTATGTTGGCAAGTTGATTAATTTTGGTTTCCTCCCTAAATATTCTACTTATTTTACTGTTGAGCTTTGTTTCAATTTAGTTATTTTATTATTGGTGCAGGTTAAACCTTTGGCGGCTGTCGGAATCAACGCGCCTACGTCTGCGGAGCTTACGCAGAAGTGATACGCAATTCGGTAGAGCTTGTCAAACGCTTTTGAGCTTATGTAGTTTAGAATTTGTTCGGTGCGGTCGCGAAATTTTGAAATTATTGATACGTGCAGTAAAATAACTAAATTGAAACAAAGCTCAATAGTAAAATAAGTAGAATATCTAGGGAGGAAACCAAAATTAATCAACTTGCCAACATAGGCTATCACATTTACAGGGCTGTTACAACAGGCGCGGATTTCTCGATTTGTCGCGGATTTGAACTTTCAGTCGCGAAAATCGCGGAAACATTAAATGATTTCGCGAAAATGTTCTGCGAAGGAACTGATGTGCTGTCACAAAAATTGTGGAGTTCATTGTAACCTTTCCGTCCCGAATTAGTTTGCTGTCATCAATTGTGTTGATCATTTGGCTCTCAATTTTTTACCGGTTCAAACCAAACACCCTGCAAATAATCGAGAAAAGATCTCAATTCCATAAGCCACACCGGAATTACACGGAAATTCCCTGGGGTCCCGCCCAATGTGAGACATTTTCATGGTTTTATTTATTTATTTATTAGTTTACATCAACAGGCTGAGTGTAGCCCCAATGATGTTTAAGTGAATAACATTAAAATACATAGTCCAGCTTACTAAAATACACAATACAATAGAATACATGGTCATTCAACGGTTTACTGCGTCAGAGAAAATACGGAAAAAGCGCCGGCGTAGCATCTCTCGTGTCAGGTTGAAATCGAACACTGAAGAAACTCGATTGAACACACGTTGAAGGCTTTCTATAGCACCGTTCATGCTATAGTTAGTGCGATGCTGAGGCAATCTTAACATAGCGTTATTTCGCAGCGCTCGGGGTTGGACGTTCACGTTGATCTTCTCCAGGATTGTAGAACAATCAATTCTACCCTGCAAACTATCCGCGATGAGCAGGGCCGCGAAGTGTCTCTCCGAGTACGTAGAAGCTCCAGATCAATCAGTTGACATCGACTTTCATAACTGGGTAGACGAAAAGGGTTTCTCCAAGGCAGATTCCTCAGAGCAAATCGAAGAAATCGACGCTGAACGGAGTCAACTCTTTCAGCACCATTGTTATAGCTTGGGTTCCATACTGCAGAGCAATATTCCAGGGTGGACCGCACCAGGGAACAGTATAGCGATTTGAGACAATATATATCGGAAAAATTCTTTGCAATCCTGAAAATGAATCCCAAAGATCTTGATGCCTTGTCGACAATGAACGAGATGTGTTGCTTATACGTTAACTGGGAATCCAAAATAACTCCCAGGTCTTTTACGTGGTTGACACGGCTGATAGTTGTTTCCTGAAGTACATAATTGAACATGATCGGTTCCTTCTTGCGAGAGAAGGTGATAACTGAACACATCGCAGGGTTGACCTCCGTTCGGTAAAAGTTGCACCAGTTAGCAAACGCTTCGAGCTGGCATTGGAGGAAGTGACAGTCATCGATAGAACGGATCCAATATGAACATAACATTTTTCGTTATCAAATCATAAACGAATCGTATATATTCGAGTAATTGCCATGTATACCGGATATTCTAGGTTCAGTAGTTCAGTTGATTTGATCTAACGGGTGTTCAATAAAAAATGAGAATGATTTCAGTGCCGTCCAGCGCTCTTGTGAGAGCATCG